GACTTTGTGGAGCCCTTTCTCCCACACAGTGGCAGGCCATCTCCCTGACGGTCATCGAGAAGGTGCAGATTGCTGCCATAGTGCTAGGCTCTCTCTTCCTCGTCGCCAGCATCTCCTGGCTCATCTGGTCCTCACTCAGTCCTTCAGCCAAGTGGCAACGGCAGGATCTGCTCTTTCAGATCTGCTACGGCATGTACGGCTTCATGGATGTCGTCTGCATAGGTGAGGGCACCTCTCTCCCCCTTATCTTTTCAGCATCAACTCACATGCTTAACTTTCCCTGCCCATTCCCTTAGCTTCATGGCCACATTTTGTACCATTGGGAGCCTTAAGGACTATCTTGGTCCCTCTCCCATGCCTGCTTCTCCAGGCTCTTTGCAACTCTATCTCCTCACTCTGGAGAAATGCTTGCTTAAGTACCTCTGGCCTGGGCCTGGGCAGCAGTTGACCCTGGATTTCTCATTCCTCTTGCTCAGGCCTCATCGTCCACGAAGGCTCCTCTGTCTACCGTATCTTCAAGCGCTGGCAGGCAGTGAACCAGCAGTGGAAGGTCCTGAATTATGACAAGACCAAGGACATAGGAGGAGATGCAGGGGGAGGGTCGGCAGGGAAGCCAGGCCCCAGGACCTCACGGACGGGCCCCCCCTCTGGGGCCACCAGCCGCCCCCCGGCTGCCCAGCGCATGCGGACGCTCTTGCCCCAGCGCTGTGGTTATACAATCCTGCACCTCCTTGGACAGCTGCGGCCGCCAGATGCCCGTTCCAGTTCCCAGTCTGGCCGTGAGGTTGTCATGAGGGTCACCACGGTCTGAACTGGACTCCAGGAGTGGGGATCTTGAGTCAATGCATCAGCCAGAGATGAGCTATCGTGGCTGCTGGAGGTACCACCTGGACAAGGTTGTTTGGGGCACACTGCCCTCATCACTGAGGATCTCTGTGGGCAGCCTCAAGCTGGAGACATTGTTTGGCCTCTACTGCCCACTGGGTAGAGACACCTGGATGACATTCCAGTCCCCACTGACAGCTCCTCACACTCATCCTGGGGCAGCCAGTGGGCAGGTGGGGAGAGCAGCTCTTCTTCCCTAGAGAACCGTCCTTACCTCAGCTCCTAGGGCCTCCAGCCCCCCAGCTCCACCACGGTGACTTGGTGAAGGGGGACCAATGCCAGAAGAAAGGGGCTGTAGACCCCACATTCCCCACCCCCATGGCCACAGGGCAGCTGGCAATAAGACTAGTATACATTGACCTCCCGTTCCCTGCATGAGGGCGGGGGACCTTCCCCCTGCTCCACCCCCCATGGCATGGGGGGAGGGCATAAAGAATCATTTATATGCACGTGGAGACTCCTTTCTCATCTGGGGCTTTTCTGGAGGGTTGGGAGGTGTGGGGAGGTTTCTCTGCAGAAGTTGCAAATCCCAAATGCAGCAGTGGGTTCTGAGTTGGAGGTGTAACTCCCACTCGCTGGTGAATAATTCACATCGGCTGCTAGGTGGCAGTGCTCAGAGGTATCTAAGGGGTGGACCTGCCACCTGCGAGTTGTGTGATTTTTAAAAAACCTCTCTGCCCTGGTTTTCCTGTCTACCTCATAGGGTTGGAATAAGGATAAATGAGGGACAGGTTGAATGCCATTGCAAAGAAAATCCGTGATGGCATAAAAAGATTTCTAGATTAGTTGATGGTCCATTTATTTCAAATAGTAGCTGGTTAACAAATTCTAAAATGTGTTTTTCATCTGGAGTTGCACAGAGCCTTGGAAATTTTTGTGTTGAGTGTCATAATAGATATGGAAATTTGGGGAGAAATAGACATTGCAGATGTGAAGGATGGTGGTTATCTGCAAGAATGAGAGCTCTTCCAACCCCCGAACACTGGGGGCTGGGGGAATGCTGGAGCTATCCTTCTTGCTCTGGGAATTGTGTGGGTGCTCTTGGTCCTTCCTAGGTAATGTGCTCACCTAGAGAAATGGTGTGAAGTGAATTTGGACTCATTTAGAGTGAAATGAACAGAATCCGCCAATGTTATGAGTCTCCAACCCCAGTGTAAACCACTTCTATGGCAGTTCAGGGTCACAGGTCTGATCCTGGTGTGCCCCAGCTAGTGGCCTTAACTGGAAGGTATTGTGCTTAAGGCAGCAGCATAGTTATTTACAGAGAAAAGGTTTGGGAAGGACTGGTTAAAATGTGGGTCAGCCTGAAGCCTGGTCCCTTTCACCTAAGGCCTTGGGGCTGTGTATTATATGAATGATGGTGTCTTTTAAGTGAACTATTCATCAGCAATTAAAATAATTACTTCATACATTGCTAAAGTCAGATCCAGAGGGCTTTCCTATTATTGGTCCTTCTCTCAGGGAAGGTTCTGCTCTGCCTTCTCCCTGGAGATGCTTTGGGGAAAATGCTGCTCTACTAAAAGTCGTGTATCCTTGGCCCAGGAAATGGTCATCCCCTACTCTCTCAAAAAGGGGTCTTGGCTGCTGTCCATGGTGCTGGCATCCAGATGCCTGGGACAGTAGGACCCAAAGCTGGATTCAGGTTTGAGTCACCTGGAAGTATTGAAGTGTATCACTCCCAACCTCTGAGGGGATCAAAGTGGAGAGGGGATGGAGGCTGAGGCACCCCCCCCCCCATTTTTCTAATTGCTTGGGAAAGCCCCCTAGTTGTTTCCCCAGAGAGATAACCCTTCACATTCCCCACCTGAAAAGACAGAAGGGCTAGACTTACTGATTTGCTATTCACAGAATAGCTGGTGGGGACCAGAAGGGAGACAGCAAATCAGAGTAACTACTACTACCTATTCTGTCAGATAGTGTTCAGGTAGGTATGACACAGGTGAGGTTTCCTGTGCCAAGCCTGGGCTGTCCCCCATGATGGCCCCACATGGAAGCTTAGACATACCCAAGAATGTAGACACACTCGCACACAAACACACTGTCTCCATTTCTACTCTGGGTCCTAAAACCAGGCCAAGTGAGACAGTACCTTCCCTTCCCTTTCAGCACCAGTGGAGGTCTTGGTATGGGGCTTGGGACCAGCAATCAGTATGGTCCCTTCTCCTTCCCTTTTACCAACTTAAAGAGATTCTTGCCCAGGAAAGGGGTCTTTGGAACTGCTGCCCTCCTCAGTCCTACTTGCCCATTGAGGAGTGTGGGTGTGCAGAACCCTCATCACTGATTCCAGGGGAAAGGGTCTGAAAGGAAGCTGGGTTTTATTCTTCCTCGAAGCTCAGATCTACAAAAAGTCAGGTCACAGGTTCAAGCTGAGCCTGGTGACAAGGAAGTGGGGGTGGAGACTGAGAATACAGCAGAGAAGGAGTGAGAGACCACACAAATCTTGGTCTCTGCACAGGGCCTCAGGTATACCCTGCCCCTCTAGATCTGTCATAAATAGATCCCCCCAGAAGGCTGGTGGCTAACGGAGTTTCTGTGCTTGGGGAGCCACGTCTAGGGCAGAGGGCTGAGGTGGTGGGGTGGAGGAGGAAGTGTGAAGTGAAATCTCCATCTACATCCAGCTCATTGGGATGGAGGGGTGCAGTTCCTGAGGCAGGGGGGCAAGTCTGGACATGGGAGGGTAATCTAGGCTACAGAGAGAGCTGCGGGGAGTGTGCTGAGAGATTTATTTGTATGGAAGATGAGTTAATCTGTATACATCACAAGGGGAGAACTGAGGCCAGCCTCTGGGGGGCCAGAGAGTGCTGACTCAGGGAAACTGGGGCTCCCTCTGCCCACCCTCCTCCTGCATTGGTGCCCCAGGGCTCTGGCCACCCCCACACTTGGCTTGCAGCCTGTCTGTCAAACTTCACTTCTCTGCCTATATCCCGGTCTTTCTCTGAAGGAAATTACCTTCGAGCAACTTTTTCAGAGATGGCAGAGTGGGCATTCTAGGATGCCCTGCCGTCCTGGCAGTCCAGGTTCCCAAAGCACTTCTACCAAGGAGTCAGCCACTTCTGGCCATCTCTGCAAATCCCTAGCTCCCGACCCATTTTTACAGCCTCGCTCTTGCAGTTACTTTTCACCACCACCCCCTTAATCTCTTCCAGGGAGCCAGACTTGGCTGTTCCCACTACAGACAGAAACATGTCTGGGTTTGTGATGCAAACTGCTCTCTCAGGTGTCTAGACCTCCCATTGTTACGGGTGTCACTCCCAGGACTTGAGAAACCAAGGTGTGGGTTTTGAGTGAGGGTCTTGCCTCTAGGACTTGTAGGAAGGGGGAGGGGGAGATAAGTAAGTCATAAGTCAAGGATGGAACATTTGATTCTTTTACTTCAAAACTATGAACATTAAAAAATTTCAATATATAAAAGGAAGGTTTGGACAGGAACAGGCCCAAATATGTCTCTGCCTGGGAACTAAGTGGTGGGGCAAGCCACCCCAATAGTGACCAGAGAGCCAAAGAGAGTTTAAAAAAATCTTAAACCAGGCAAAGGCAGACTCACCTTCCTAGTGGCAAGAGGAGGAAGGAGAGGGACAGACAGAGCCTGGTAAGCTGCTCATCCCTTCTGCCACCTGGTCCAGATTCAATCTGAGAATCTGTATGGTGTCAGTTAGTCAGGGATAGGCTCTGGTGGGGGATATAAAGGCCGAATAAAAGAGCTCTCAAAGAGCTCACATGCAAGGAGAGACGACCAACCAGGTACAGACCAGATGCTCAATTACTTAGCTCATGCCATGACAAATGCTTAGCCAGCAGCATCAGGGAATACTGTGGAACCCCCAAAAGGGCAGTGGCTGAATTCTTCCTCAGGCCACCCAGCATTATTAGGCAAAATCTGAGTTGGCCCTTGAAGGATGCATATGATATGAAACGAAAAGAGCTGAGCGGGCAGAGGGCCCATGGTTTTCTGGGGGCCTGGTGTGTCAGGACAAGTGCATACTTCGCCCCTTGGTCAGGGCTGCCTCAAGTACCTTGCTATGGTCATTTGAACCAGTTTGGTCAGATAGACAGGCCTCAGGGGGAATACGCATCTCTTGGTCTTGTGCCTAATAAACACCTATGATGAGAGGAAGGGTGATGATGACAGCCTCCTTCCATGGGACTATCTGTCCACAAACTGTAGGTTGATGCTCCTCTCGGGTACCAGGACAGTCCGGGTCATGGGTCTGATTGGAGTAGCACCTGGCTCAGGCTGCACCTCAAAGTGGATCAAGATCTGGAAAGGGAGAAAGAAGGTTCTCACTATGGGAGGGGTCTGCAATGGTAGGCTTGATTGGTAAAGGGCATTCTGAGTGTTAGGAGAGCCAAGGTTGGAATCCACCTGTGGCCGGTAGAGGACTTCTGGCTAATGAGGGGGAGAGATTATGGTGGGGAAAAAGATAGTCCAAATACCCTTGCTCACCCTCCAGGCCTGTAATGGGATTGCCATATTCCAGAGGATTAGGTCTACCAAGTCTTCCAAGTCACACACCTTCCCATGCTGTCCCAAGACCTCATGGCTTTACAGGGTTAGGGTCTCTCCCATCTGGGGAAGGTATGTCTAGATCACTTACCTGGGCCAAAGCCATTTGCAGCTCAAGCTCTGCCAGGCGTCTCCCCATACAGCTGCGCTTGCCAAAGCCAAAAGGGAGAGATGCAAACGCATGGGGCGCTGGACCCTCCCCCAACCAGCGAGCTGGACGAAAAGAATTTGGCTCTGGAAACTGAGCAGGGTCCCTTGATGTGGCATAATGACACAGTGTGACCAGCGTCTGATGGAGGAGGAACACAAACTTGTCAGTTTGGGTCCACAGATGCAGGGAGGGACACAGAGAAGAGGATATATGGACTGGGGCAAAGGCAGGCTCTGGTTGGTGATGGGTAAGTTTTCTGGGGCTACTTTTGGAATGAGTCCCCCACTGCCCCATTGCATCCTTGAGAGAGGCATTCACGCCAAAGGGAGGGTTTGAAGGGCTTATGGGGAGTGTTTGAGAACAGGACCAGGCCCAAGATAGTAAGGGATGGCTTAGAAAAAGGGGCCCATAGGCTCTACTCACATTTTTTGGGATAATATAGTCACCCACATGAATGTCTCTGTCTGGGACACGGGAATTTCCAGGTACCACGGGGTACAGTCTGGGTTGCAGGGCACAAGAGGGAAACAGCAAGGTGAGGCTGGGGCCTGTAGCCTCTCTCTCATCCCCTCCTCCAACCCATTCTTGGCCAGGAGGAGAATGGCATTTTCTTCTGCTCCCTCTCCCTGCTCCCTTCCACTATAGGCTTCCCCAGTCCTTCCCTGGCATTTTCCCCAGCTCCTCCTCTCCTGCCGCCTCACCTCAGCACTTCCTTGACCACGGCCTTAAGCAGGGGCAGCCGGGACAGAGCAGTGGCTGAATGGTGGCCATTGGAGCCAGGGCCCAGGGCAGCTGTGATCTCGGAGTGCAGGGCCGTCTGGACTTCGGGGTGCCGAGAGAGTTCATACAGAGCCCAAGAGAGCGTGTTGGACACCTGAGGGGAGAGAACATCGGAGGTGTTGAGAGTGAGGACCCGGTATAGGGGGCAGAATATGAGGCAGTCTGGAGCCCAGCAGGCGCTAAGCCAAGCTAGTGGAGAGGGCCATAGTGGATCCCCTGCAGCAGCAAAATGGCCCTTAAGACCGGGGAGGCTAAGGTCTAGAAGCAGGGCTCGCAACTTAAAGGGAGAACCTCACCGTGTCCACTCCAGCCAGTAGCAGCTCCGTCACATTCCCCAGGATGGACGAGGCTGACAACTCTTCCCGGAACAGGAAGTAGGTAAGGTGCGCCCCAGATCCCATGTCCTCCTCAGGCTTTCCCGGGCTCCTCCCGGCGACCTCGGCCTCGCGCCGCTCCACGTGCTGCTGGGCTGCACCCGGAGAAGGTAGAGGGATGCCTCACTACTCCCGAACAGCTTTACGTTCTCCATCTCCATTTCGTTTCTGTGCCTTACCAAATGCGAACATCTGGTCCCAGTCTCGGCAGAGGCGTCCCCAGGGTCCGGGCACGAGGCGATGCAGCCAGTTGGGCATCGCCATGGTCAGCAGCGTGGACACAAACACGGAACCCACCGCGCGGATGAAGGCCTCAGTGTCTGGGGGCACTTCGGCCTCCAGGCAGCCCAGGCGCGAACCCAGCAGCACAGCGGCTATGCCTGGCCGGGAGGGGGCGCTGTCAGGGCACCGGGAGACCCCGGCCGGGTGCCTCCTACGCCCGCCCCTAACCGTGTGGGGACTCACCTTCTAGTCCAAACTTGTAAAACTCCCCTGCCACGTCCCGAACCAGAGCAGGCGGCCCAGCGCCCCGTCCCCGCTGGCGCCGCAGTCGTCTCACGAGGTCACGGACCACGTCGTCCAGGGTCCCGGCGTAGCGGGCGGCCGCTTGAGGCCGGAGGAGGAGCGGGGCCAGCAGGCTGCGGAGCCTCTGCCATTCTTCGCCTTCCCTGCGGGGGTGCGGAGACGGGGCGCATCAGGGCGGATGGGCGTGCGTGGCGGCGGCCAGACTCGGCTGCCAGCCTTGGAGAAGGGTTGTGTTTGGCTGGGGTGGCCAGGAGAGGGATTGAGTTTGCTTCCCTGGGGTACAGAAACATGCTCCTGTCCGCGCCCGCTTTCCATTCCCCTTCCTCCTTACTCATTTCCTGCCCCGGAGGGGCCTGGGTTCCTGGGTAACCTGAATCACAGAATCTAGATCCTGGTACCTTAAGCCGCTTCCACCGGTTCCCAGAATTCTGGCCTCAAAAGGGAAGGAGATGGGCGGGGGGCGAGGGTGGGGCTCTACCTGAACTTGAGCGAAACAGACTAGAATGGGAACCTCGATTTGCCAGAAGGTTGGGGAAACGGCCAACCTCCCTCCACAACCCCAGACAGACTCCCCGGACCAGCCGGACCCCTGGGCTTTGGAACCAGAGAGGACTCACGCGGTGAGTAGTCCACAAGCCCGCTGGCTGCAGCGACGGTGCTCAGCCCAGGAGGAGAAGCTGCAGCGCTCGGGCCGGGGACCCTCCTGTCGTAGGAGCTGCTCGATGAGCGTAGGGGCCGCCAGGTACACCGTGCGCACCGTCCCGAAGCTGGCCAACCACACCGGCCCGAAGCGCGCGGCTCCCTGCACCTGGAAGAACGGGCGCAGCGGTCACCTGGAGACCCGGACCAGGGACCCCTAGCTTGGCCCGTGCCAACACCAAGGGCTTTAGCTGGGTTTTGGAAGGAGGAGCTTCTGCTCCTTCGCGCGCTCCCAAGCTAGTGTATGACCTGCTGCTGCAAATCCCTCCTCCTTCTCTTTCCCTTACTCCCCATCCCTAGAAAGTTTGAATGTGATGGGCAAAACGGAGGAACTTTGCGCAAAGCAGACATTCAGGACCTCTTTTTGGTCACCTGAGCCGAGCCGAGGTGGAGAAATCCCTAAAGGTTCCTCACGTGGTCTGTGCATCTCAGGGCCAACACCCACCAAAGGAACAGGAGCGCGTGTAGCTTTAAGCCGAACGCGCGAGGAAGGTACTGTGCGTTTCCACCTCCCTCGCACTTGTCCTGGACCTACCCGGCCTCCAGACTTCTGCACAGCGAGAAGGCGCCTTTTGAGCGCACTCCTCTGCTGGGTGTCGGGATGGACTCCGCGCCAGTAGAGCCACCGACCCCGGTCCCAACTTATTGTTTCCATAATTCATGGGCATCCGTTCTCATTGGCCCTCCCTCCTACGTTCTCTACTAGCCTGTCCTTTCCGGCGTTTTCAAAGCCAGTTTCCCCAGCAAGCAGTCCCGGGAACAGTGTCCCCCTCTACCTGCAGCTCGTGTAGCCGCGACAGCCCCCCCTTGCAGAAAAGTTCGGCAAGGAAGCCGGGTGTGGAGGGGCCTGGGATGTCCGCCAAGCTCCGGGGCGCTGAGTCGGAGCCTCTGGAACCCAGTGAGGTGCCCAGCTCGGGAGCACAGCGGAGGCGATGGAACACTCTGGAGGCGAGCTTGAGGGTCTGGGTCATGGTCTGGTTCAGAGAACCCGCGAAAGAGAGCGCTTCTCCCGAGCATCTTGCCTGCTTGCCCGAGCCCCTATTTAACCCTTGGGCGAGATAGTGGCGACGCCCCCTCTCCAAGCTCCTCAGCCAATCCCCTCTCCTGAGTGGTCCGTGCAGGGGATTAGCACCCAGGAACAGTAGGCGGGGCTGGGGCTGCCTCGTGGCTCCCTTGGGTCTCATGATGCAATGACCCTCTTGGGAGGGGAGGCTTGAAGCAGTCCCTCCTCCTGGGCTGGTGCCCTAGTCCGGCAGCCTAACAGCCTCATCCTGGGAAAGGCTATTTAGTGAGGCCTAGGTGACCAAGATGCAGCCAGTCCCTGGTATTCTCACCACTTCCCCAGGGATCCAGGCCCCCTGGGCCCATCCTCAGGAATTCCCCATCTCAGCTCCTACGGGAAGAGGCGCAAATGTAGCTGTCCCCAGATTCTTGGCTGCACCTTCTCTGTATGTGAGCATGATGTTCCTTCACCGCCACATCTCCCCTCCCCCTGGACCTGGCAGACGGTGGTGGGTTACTTGGTTAAAAAGGCTCCAGAAGCCTTCTTCTTTGTTCCGTGGGGGGGTGGAGTGGGGGTCTTTCAGGTCAACAAGCCCTGTCCTTCCAGCCAGGGAATTCTGGGCTTGAGGAGCAGAGAAAGAACCTTTTGCAAACTGGAAAAGCTCAAAGATTTCTCTGGGCTCCTGGACAGAGCAAGGGCTGAGTGAGTGTTCTGAATCTCCAGCTGACCCAGTCCCCTTTGGTGGGCTTTCTAGTTAGCAGCCCCTTTCTACTTTTAGCTTCAGAATCCTCCACAGTTTAGCTCTCTGCTCCTCACTCCCCCACTCCCCACCCCACCCCCATCAGGCTCTGTGCCAGTCAGTCAGCTCTGAAGTTCTGGAACCGAAGGTCAACATGAAAAAGGAGAGGGTCTCCGCCCCCACACCCTCCCAGGGACTCTCCAGAGACAGCAACAAAAAAAAAAGGAGCAGATTCCCCAGGTCAAGTCTCAGCAGGGAGAGGATGGGAGGATGGGAGAAGGCACATGATACACACCCTAGCCTTTCCTGAGAAAACAGCACGAGCATGTGCACACGTACGTATACATGCTGTCCCCAGGACTGCAAAGGAAACACACGTGGACAGGTGATTTGAGCCTAGCAGGCAGTTTAGAGAGATCGTGGAGAATTGCATTCCTCACTCCAGCTGAGGACAGATCCCAGGAGAAGGGAGTGCTAGGGAAGAGCAAGACCCTGTACCCTTCCAAACATCCCTTCTGGTCCAAGGCCTTTTGACCTTCCCAACCAGCTTCTTTTGCTTTCTGCTGGCAGCGGGGGCAAGAAGGTGAGAGGAGTCAGGGGTAGTTGTGAACACCAGAATTCTGCCCTGGGCAGCTCCCCAACTTCTTGGAGAGATGCTGCCTCTCAGCTCCAGCCATCTCAGCTGGGAAAGTCCAGAGGGCCTGATCTTCTTTCTAGTCCCTGGAAGATGCGGTCCAGCTAAGGCATGGTATGCAGTTGGGGACCAGGACGGGTGAGACTGGGGGTCACTGCTTGGAGGGTGAGATCCTGTATTCTTCGGAAGATGGCTGGGAAATTCTTTCCTCCATTGCGTAGCACTTTCTTTCCTTCTTCGGTTGAGGTGCCCAGATGTCCCACAATGGGGTCTTCACTCTGGGAAAAGGAATGGTCCAATAAGTCCTTGCCCACCTTTCAGACTGCCCCTGGCCCCGAGACTCCCATCCCATCCACCTGGCACCGAACTGGATTCAAAGAATACAGAACCACTCTGGAAAGGGCCTGAATCTTCCCTATTTCCCTCAGACCCCCAACTTACCAGCTCCTCCAGAGGCACACGCTCAAACAGGGGATGTCCTTCAAAATGGGTACACATCCAGTTGTGCAGCTCCAGCACATCTGTTATGGTGTACACCAGCCCCTGCACAGGGAAAAATCACACGAGACAGGGGGCTGCACGGAACTGAGCCACGAGATGATGGGAGTGACGGTGTGAGCCCTAAATGCACCCCTACTAAATTCTTAGTGGAAGGTCCCTGAATAGGCCACTCACCCCATTGTCCCTCCCACTCCCGACTCACCCCAACTCGCAGCACGTAGGCATATTCTGCAAGCAGTGTCGGACTGATGATTCGCCACTTGTGCTTCGTCCGCTTGAAATGTGGGTCAGGGAAGAGGAAGAACATCTTTGTGAGCTGTGAGACAGACATGCACCGACAGGGTTGTGAGAGCCTGGCCTCCACGCCCCACCTGCCTACCAGTTTGACCCACTAGGGCCCCTCCCAACCTGGCCCTTGCGGAAGAAGTTAGGAAGGTGTTTCATGGCATTGCTACGGAGACAGGCGATGTTCTGGAAGCCACCTCCAGGAGCTGCTCGTAGGGCCCGAATCCGGTCTTGTACGTAGTCTGAGACTTTCACTCGGATCTCCAGACCCAGAATCAGCGTGTCTGGGAACAGCGGTGACAGTTCCACTGGACACAGAAATAGGAATGGAATCACGAACTTCATATTTGCAGGAAGCGCAAAGGGGTCAACACAGGAAAGGAAGCCCCAGCCTGCAACTACCACAATCAGGAATGGCAAGTGTGGGCAGAGAGACCCCGATGGATGGTTCCGTCCTGGAGAAGAGGGCTTGGGGAGATCCGAAAACTGTTACCAAGACTGGAAGTGGGAGGGCCTGAGAATACATGTGTATTTGCAAGTGCTTTAAAGTTTTCACACATTGTCTCATTTAATCCTCATAACACGCAGTGTAAATTGTGAAGATGAGGAAACCGAGGGTCAGAAATACCCAAGGTCATAGAACTAAGAAGAGGCAGAACTCCAACTTGAACCAAGGTTTTCTGCCACCAAGTACCATGCTCTTCCTCTCTGTCATGCTGTTACCTCCATGGGAAGATGTAGAAATAGAGAAGTGGGCCGGCATGCTAGGCCAGGACAGTACAGACAATACAAGAGGGACTCCCAAACAGAGAGTGGAGCAATGAGTTATGGAGAGGAAGGGGGGAGGGGTGTGGTGGAATCCTGAGAAAGACAGTTCAGGATCACTAGCCACAGTGACTAATCTCTGTTGCTTGTGCTGACCAGCTCACTGACCCAGCACCTCGCAGGTGAAATGGCTCATGTCGGGACTGGGGCCAGGGGTGGGGCCTGACAGGACAACCCAAGTTCCAAGAGGCATTTGAGGCAGCCCCTCCCTACTCTAGGGCAAAGGCCACAGACGGAGAGTAGACGGAGGGTGGGGACTCTTCACACCGATGTCATAGCACCAGTGTCTGGTCCAAAGGGGAAAGGCCAACTATGGTCCCCACTAAACCTGCTGAGATCGCAGAAACTAGGTGTTACCTCTCCTTGCCCCAGAGAGAGAGCGGGAGTGTTACCTAACAGGCCACCATAGCCACAGCCTATGTCTGCAAACTCCACTTGAGCCTGAACTCTCTTTTCGTTCTCATCCTTTGGGTCATCGTGGCTCTGATTCTGAGTCGGTGGGGTGAAGAACTCTGGGTATAGCTCAGACCAGTCCATCTCCTCTGGCTTCACAGGGCTAGGGAGAGAAGACATGAGAAGGTTGGTCATACCATTGCAAAAGTGGTACTGCGTGTGTGGGGGTGGATGAGTATGGGTGGGCGGTAGTTGGGAGGAGGGTTTCTCGAAAATTCGGTTAACAGTGGGCCCTGTGGCCTCTCGGAGACACAATGGAAACCACCGTTAACCCCCAGTGTGAATCATAGGCCCATCGTGAGGCCCATGATTGCTGACCTGCCCATCTCCGTTTCTAGGAGTTAATGTGACTCTGGCCAGGCAGCTTTCCTTTCTGGGGCACAAGTTCCCCTTTCCTCAGAGACTGGCTGCCTAAGGCACGGGGACCTTACTTTGTCTATGTTCTCTGTGGGAAGGGGATGGAATAAGGTGTGGACGGGATTGTGCATACGTTTCTCTTTTTGTTAAATCCAACAAACGAAACCAAAAGATGGAAACGACATTCTGCCTCCATCCCTCTAGTCTTAGTAACAATTTCTTTTCCCAGACTTGCGCCGCCACCCAGACTTCAGCGGGACAGCCACACCCACGCCCAACCCGCCAACTCCGCCCTCCACCAAAACTCCTCGATCCACCCCTAAGCTGACGTCACCCTGCTGATCCTCCCGGGTCTATCTCAAACCCTCCCAACCGGACCAGCGCAATCGCTCTCCCGGGCCGCTCCGGGCTGTTCTAATTCCGCCCTTCTACCCCTTCCAAGGCTCCCCTCCCCTGCCCCGCTCACTTACTAGCGCAACGTATGATCCGCCATGGGGTTGGAGTGAGCACGTTGCCGATAGTAGCGCTTCTGGGGCTGCGGGGCCTCGACTCCCGCCATGATCCCCAGCGCGGGGATTCTCCACCGAGCCCACGTGGAGACCTAGGCCCGGGCGCACGACAATGACGCAATCAGACACGTTGCGAGCAGACCCCACCCCTTAAAGAGCCAAGAGTGAATTGGGCCGGGCTGGGCTGGGAGGACGGGGAGGAACCGAGGGGGCCAGCGCAGGGGGACGCCTCCACCCAGCTCGTCTTTAACCGGGCCGGCAAGGCCAGACGCGGCGCCCAGCCTCTTTCGTTAGCTTGCTTCTGCCTTGTCTGGGTTACCTTCCTGGCTGCAGGCACCTGTGCACCTTGCAGGTGAGAGGGGTCTGGGACCCCGCTTCCTAATTCTACAAGTAATCCTCGCTCCTCTCCCCTCTGCCCGATCTCGGACCGGTCTGCCGGGTCTGACCCGCGTGGTCTGGGGTGAGTCCCGTCGGGTGTGTGCTGGGCACCGGAGCGGGAGGGGGAGCTCCTCATTCCACCTCCAGGAAGTCAAACTGGAGGAAGGAGGGCAAACTCGGGGAGGCGGGGCTCGGTGCCACTGGAAAGCTGAGACGGCCGCGGCCCCCAACCCCCACCCGGCTACAGATCCCGATCCCAGCGCTGGCCACGGTGTCCAGATGGCGGACCCCCGCCCAGATCCTGAATCAGAGCCCGAATCCGTGTTCCCGCGGGAGGTCGGGCTCTTCGCCGACTCTTACTCGGAGAAGAGCCGGTTCTGTTTCTGTGGACACGTCCTGAGCATCACGCAGAACTTCGGGTCCCGCCTGGGGGTGGCAGCGCGCGTGTGGGACGCGGTGAGGAGTGGGTGGCTCTGGCCCAGGGGCCGCGGGACGTCCAGACCCCGGACTCTCCCTCTCCCATATGGAGCCATCCCCGCGACAGTCTTTTTTTCTCTTTTTTCTCCCATAGGCTCTGAGCTTGTGCAACTATTTCGAAAGTCAAAATGTGGATTTCCGAGGCAAGAAAGTGATCGAACTGGGCGCGGGGACGGGCATCGTGGGGATCTTGGCGGCGCTGCAGGGTGCGTGAGCTTTGCGGCGGGAGGGGCATGAAGACGCGGAGAAATTGTCACTTTCTGGATTCTTGGGAGAGAGGAATGGTTAGGCACCAGCCCAATCCCTTCTTTTTAAACATTCTTTGTGTGCGTGTGTGCCTGCTTCTGTGTGCCAGACAGCGCTGATTGGCTGTCAGACCGCCCAAAGTGGTAGATTTGGGGGCAAGAAATAAAAATTGGGCAGGCCTTAGTAGGAATTTGTTTTCTACTTTTTTGCTCTTTGTGATTTCATGGACAGCGCTGTCATTTAAAATCTCCTTTGCTTTGGACGTGGTCTTCTGTCAAAGTGCATGCATAGGGGCACCCTGTAGGGGGAGCAGCCTGCGGGTATGAAACCTCTTCAGCGCTTTATAACTGTATTACGAATATATTTTAGATTTTTAAGATTTTGGTTGCGTGGGGAAAACAACTGTATGAGTTTCTGAGGGTTGGGTGTGTTTTGTGGGAAGTAGGGTAGGAATTAGGCCCCGCAGACTTGGGGAAGGAAAGGTAAGGAAAATTTTGCAGCATTTTTGTCGAGAACCAGAAACTACAAAAGAAACATTTCTTAATTTATTGGGCAGGCAAAACCTCACACCGAAAACACTCATTTAAAAACACTTATGATGTCATCTCCTTAGAAATGAACAGGTCCTCCTTCATAGGGACACAACCAGGTCACACTCAGGGAAGTCTTATGTTCATTCAACCTACACGTATTTGGAGTCCCCAGTGTGCCAAGAATCATGCCAGGTCCTGGGATACGACCATGATTGAGACAGATGTCCTCTCCCCGGGGAGCTTACGGTCTAGTGGGGAAGAGAAGGAGGCGGGTCCCGCACGAGAACTGTCGCGAGATCCGCGCAGAGCCGGTGCATGTGCTCGAGCCACGTCTCCCTTGCTTCCCGGGAACCCGTCAAGGAGAGGCTCCGCTAGGCGAGAAGGAGGTGAACAGGGGGGACACGGCAGGCTCCGAAAGGAGGAGGGAGTGTCAACAGCAGTTTCCCATGAAGGATGGATGAGAGGCGGGCAGTTATGTTAAAATGAGAGAAAAGGGGTGTAATATGGCCGGGAACACCTGCTTTCACTGGCTTCCAGATTGGCTCCTCCTCCTTCGCCCCGTATTCAGCTGCCAAGCCAGAAATCTGGGTGTCATCTTGTCCCTTGCCCTCTCCCCTCACAATCAGCCAGTCCTGTGGGTCATAGGCCCTTAATGCATACCCAATTGTCTCTTCCTCTTCCCGCCATCTTAGTTGAGGCCACTGCCATCTCCTCCCTGGATTTTCACAAGCATCTTCAAGCTTTCCCATGGGTAAGTTTGGCGTGCCCAAACTAGATCTTTTGATCCCCCACCAAACCTTTTTTCCCTCAGGTTTCCCCATCTCAGTGAATCAAACCACCATCCCTTTGGTGGGAAACCTCGATATCACCTTTGACCTGTCCCTTTTTCTCACCCCTATGTCTGTGATTCCAGTCCTATTGATTTTATCTCCTAAAAATCTTTTGAATCTTCTCCCGTTTTTCCATCGACACTGACGACTTCCCAGTCCATGCACCACTGTCACTTGCCTGGACTACTACATTTGGTCAAACTGGTCTTCCTCTTTGACTCCCTGACTGCCTGGGCCTCTGCCTCCTCCACCCAGCCGGCAGAGGGATCCTCTCAAAGTGCCGCTGTAATCCTCCCATGCCCATCTTTCAGTGGCTTCTTGTTACTTTCAGGATAGAACCAACCCCTTTGGCATGGCCTCCAAGTCCTGCCTCCCTCTGTGCCCCCCCTCCTCCCCCTGCACTCTTTGTGCTACCTATTGCCCTTCTGTCTGTTCCTTAAACCTATCTTGATGTTCCTTTCCTTGGAGCCTTCACACAGGCTGTACTCTCATGTCTGAAATCCTTGTGCCCTCTGGTTGGTGCATATGCATCCTTGAGTGCTTAGCCCCAACATCACTTCCCCAGGAAGGCCTCCTTGACACTCCTACCCCCAGGCTAGCTTAGGCCCTCCTGGTATATACACAACTGTGCTAACTGATTTCATTTTAACTTTGTGTCACTACCTCAGGTGTGTCCTTATGTGCTGCCCAGCTAGCCTATTTCCATCCCCTCCTCCACTCATTCTTCACTCTCCTAAACATCTGTGTCTTACCTTCTTGCCCTTCAAACCTCCAAATGCTGCCTCCCCTATCTTCACCCTCAGCCGAAGACTTTGTTTCCTGTCTCTTGTGACTGTGTCTGTTTTCTCATAGAAAACATCCACATGTTCCCGTCACAATGTCTACTCACCTAACTATGCCTTCTCTCCTGTTACCATGGACATGCCATGACCTAGCTAAGGTCACGCCCTCCATTTGTCATGAGACCTCCACCCTTCTCACCTACTCAGAGACATTGTTCGAGCAACACCCCCACACCAAATCTCTCTTGCATTATTACTTTTTTCTTCTCTCTGGATTATTCCATATATATATATATATATAGTGTATATATAATAAATATGTGTAAATATAAATATGCCGTAATTTCTCCTATCTCAGAAGAAACTCTTGATCTACATATTCCCCTGGTTACCACCCCATTTCTCTGCTCTGCTTTACGAGAAAACTCCTCAGGAGTTAATACTCACTGTCTGTAGGTCCTCTTTGCTATTCTTTCCTCAGCCCATTCCGGACTCCCCCCACCCGCCATGGCCCCTCCACTCCATTGCTCTAGTCAAGGTTGTGGGCTTCATCTACAGCTCCATGTTGTTGAGTTCAGGCGTCAGTCATGAGCCCACCTTACTTGACTCTGCAGCCTGTGACACTCCCTCCTCCTGGACACACTTCCATTGGTTTCCAGGGCACCACCCTTCTGGTTTCTGCCCAGCTCACTGGCACTCTGTTCCGTGTTCCTTTGTTGGTTCCTTTTCATCTTCACAGCTGAACATTTGAGGGCCCCAGGGCTCAGGGGCAGGCTTTTCACCTCTCCTCTTTTCTGTCTGTACTCACTCCTAAGCAATCTCATCACTTCTCAGCTTTGAATACCCTTTCTATGCTGGGAAACCTGGAACTCTCCCATTTCTACCTCCTCACTTGTCTGTCTGGCTTCCTGTCTACTCCATATCTTCATGTGGTTGTCTGATGGACAGCTCACACTTAATGTGTCCAGAAACAAACTCATGAGCTTCCTGTCCAATCCTGGTCCTCCTGCAACCTTCTGGTTTTTTTGGTGAGGAAGATTGGCCCTGAGCTAACATCTGTTGCCAATCTTCCTCTTTTTGCTTGAGGAAGATTGTCACTGAGCTAACATCTGTGCCAACCTTCCTCTATTTATATGTGGGACGCCTCCACAGCGTGGCTTGACAAGCAGTGTGTAGGTCTGTGCCTGGGATCTGAACCTGTGAACCCTGGGCTGCCGAAGCGGAGCATGTGAACTTAACCACTACACCACTGGGCCAGCCCCCTGCAGCCTTCTTCATCTAAATGAATGGCAATGCAGTCTTCTAGTTGGTCAGGCCAAACAGCTTGGAGCCATCCTCAACTTCTCTCTTTCTCTAATAGTTCATATCCCATCTGTCAGCAAAACCTATTGACTCTACTTTTAAAATTATTCAGGATCTGACCACTTCTTAGACATTGCTACTGCCCTGGTTCAAACCACCATCATCTGTCACCTGGGTCACTGCAGCCGCCTCCTAACTGGTCTCCTTGCTTCTGACCTTGCCTCTCTGCAGTCTTTTCTCATCACAGCGGCCAGAGTGATCCTTTTAAAGCATAAGTCAGTTTATGCCATTCTTCCACTTAAAATTCTCTAATGGCTTCCCTTCTCAGACTGAAAGCCAAATTTCTCCAGTCTCCTTACAAGGCCCTTACAAGGTGAGGATCTGGCCCCTACTGATCCCCCTCACTTCCTCTGCTCCAGCCACTGGCCTTCCTGCTGTTCCTCAGACCTGCCAGGCACACTCCTGCCTCAGGATCTTTGCACCTGCTACTCCTTCATTTGGTACATTTTAGCCTGAGAGATCCGTGTGGTTTGCTCTCTCACTTCCTTCAGGTCTTTGTCCAAACACCATCTGCTCAGTGAAATTTTCCCTAACCACCCAGTTTATGTTTTATTTATTTATTTTCTTGCCGAGGAAGATTCACACTGAGCTAACCTCTGTGCCCATCTTCCTCTATTTTGTTTGTGGGACGTTGTCACAGCATGGCTGACGAGGGGTGTAGGTCCACGCCTGGGATCCGAACCCACGAATCTAGGCTGCCAAAGTGGAGCACGCCAAACTTAACCACTAGGCCACGGGGCTGGCCCAACACCCAGTTTAAAATTACATTGCCTGCCCCGTCCCTCGAGTGGTTCTTATCCTCCTTGCCTGCTTAATGCCTCCACAGCACTTAGTACCATCTGATGTACTGTGAATTTTGTTTATTTTGTTTTGTGCTTCATTGTCTGTTTCCTGCCACTAGACTGTCAGCTCCATGAGCAGAGAGGTTCTTGTCTGACTGGCCCACTGCTGTATTCCCAGCACCTGGCATGTAGGCACATAATAAATATGAATGAATGAATGAATTCTTAGTACTTCCTGTGTCTATGATGGTCATCGTGATTATGATTAAATCGTTTTGCAGTACCTAGTGTGTCTCTACCTCTATAATAAACCTCAAGGAGGGCCGAGGTTTTGTCTTGCTCACCACTATGCTCCCAGAACTTGGTAGGTACTCAGTACATGTGTTTATTGCATGAATGAAGCTTTCTGAAGTGCTAATCTGATCATCTTCACCATCTGCTTCTACCCTGAAAACCCATTGCTCCCAGGATCAAGCCTGGATCTCCTCAGCATGTCATAACCGTCTTCCTCTTTACTCTCATGTCTTTACACTTTTCTACTCCCTTCAATCCTTCCACATCCTCTAAGATCCAGCTTTCCTGAATATACCATGCTCTCACCTCCAGGCCTTTGTACTCTGTTCTCTACTTGGAAAGCTCCACCTGACTAACTCCTACTTGTCCTTTAAGGCTGAGCTGAGGTCATGTCTCCTGGGAAGCTTTCCAGACCCGTGAAGGCTGGTTTGTGTCAGTAGGGGATGGGGGCACAGCCCGCCTCCAGCTTAGTCCTGCCCAGGCTTCTGCTGACATGTGATTGTTGTGTGTTGGGCAGAGGGGTTGAAGATTAGCTCAGAGAGAATGTTGATGTTGTAAAATGTAGAGTAAGGAGAACAGTGGTGGGTGACATGGAGGTTAGAGCAACCAAAAGCCAAAGTGTGGACTTTGGGCTGTCAAGACATTGTCCTCTAGGCCCTGAGGTCTCTGGAGCTGAGACCCCTTGGTTGGTCCCTCTGACTTGCATTTCTCCTCCTTCCTCTCTCTCAGGGGGGGATGTTACCATCACTGACCTGCCCCTGGCCCTAGAGCAGATCCAGGCCAACGTCCAGGCCAATGTGCCGGCTGGAGGCCGGGCCCAGGTCCGCGCCTTGTCCTGGGGGATTGACCAGCATGTCTTCCCTGGAGACTATGACCTGGTGCTGGGGGCTGATATCGTGTACCTGGAGCCCACCTTCCCACTGCTGCTGGGCACCCTCCAACACCTGTGCGGGCCCCATGGCACCATCTATCTGGCCTCCAAGATGAGAGAGGAGCACGGGACAGAGAGCTTCTTTCAGCACCTCCTGCCCCAGCATTTCCAACTGGAGCTGGCCCAGCGGGATGAGGATGTGAATGTCAACATCTATAGGGCCAGACACAGGGGACCGAGACCTGCTTGACGTCACCCTTCTGCTCCTCTGAGCCCCTTGTCCTGATGAAGGAACTGCCATATCTTCCAAGCCATAAACAGGATCAAAAGTGTGGATTTCCCTTGCCTCCTACCCTCTCTGTTCCCCCAGATATTCACAGGGAGATGCCTGCTTGCCAGGAATCCTGGAGCCCTGACAGCACTGGGGTAGAGTGCAAAGGAAGTTCGCAGCTCCTGTTCTCAGAGGAGGAAGACAGGAGGGTATCCAGGATTTTTAGGGGGAGGGGAGGTAAAGGGATGTGAGAGCAGTGGCTGCTCACTGTCACTGATCCCTTCCAGTCCTGCTGTTGTCTTTTTATACAGAATGGATTTTTTTTTCTTTGCCAGATTCTAATGGAATTTTTTTTAAGGGAAAGAAATAAGCATTAAAAATCTCTTCTGCATCCGAAGAACCCAGGCTTTTGCCGGGGGGCTGGGAAGAAGCAGCCTCAGACCACCCACTTCTTGCTTCTAGACATAGAGTCTGGTGGGCCCATGGCTTTAACTGGGTGCAGTCTTCCTAGCCCTGAAGTGGGCGTTGGCAGCAGAGCGGTCCTTTGGACTGTGGCTTCTCCACCCTCTTCAGAGCTGGAGCCTTGATCACTAAGTACTAGGTTCTCCTGTCTTTGATTTTCTTTAGGTTTCCAACCCCTGTCAGTCTTTCCTTCCTAGTGTGTTTTGCCCTCTCCTCTTTTCCCTTCCCACTGTGGTTCCTGTGGTTGGGGCTCTCTTTACTTACTCCTTGGGCCACATATCACCTCCTCTGGCCTGCTGGCCTCCATTCTCTCCCTTCAAACCACTTTGCAAACTCTTGAGGTCTTCCCAGATCAGCTCTGGTTAGCTTCTGCTGCGCACAGAAGCAAGTGGCAGATCCTCTGCTGGGTCTCAGTCTCTCCCGTGGGACCCAAATTACCCTCTATTTCATTGCTGGTGTCCTACATGCATTGCAACCTCTGGCCAAATTACGGAAGGTCTGCCCTCTGCTCCCTGAATCCACACCAAGATCCCCTGATGACTTCTTTCTTTTTCATGCTTCCCTGCCTGGAAGGGCTATTTCTCCCTGTCAAAATCTTCATTACTCTCAGCCTCTTTTCCTGAAAAAAGCTTTTCCTGAGCCTTCCTCCCCTGAGATGCTTTAACTGTTTGTTCATCTTATGGGACTTACCCCTTCTTGTGTGTCGTTTGTCGGCTCCCTATTTTCTCACCATTAGATTACCCTGGAGGGTATGCCTGTGGTTCACTCCTCTCTCAGGCCCTGAAGCCTAGCAGTTCCTGGCACACAGTGGATGGTCAACAGATGTTTTGCTCATTCAACAAATATTTACTGGGTTTGTTGAAGGGACTCCACTCCTACCTCCCCAGCCGTCCTTGGCCAAATTTCTGAACCCGCCCACCTACCTACAAGTTTGTCATGAGTCATAAATGGATAATAAATATGAAAGCCCATTGGAAATAAAGAAACATAAAGTGTTATCATGTGTCTTGTACTGTTATTTTGTGACATCTTCATCGCATGGTTGGCGTTATTTTACCTGTGGGGCTAATTCCTTGTGAAACAGAGTCTCAATAAGCCAAGTGGCGGAGGCGAGTGTGCCCTTGCGGCCAGCAGATGGCGCCACCCTGGTCTGGTGCTTTCCGGGGGAGAGGTTTGGCCCCGCCGCCACGCCGTCGGCCTTTGACGTCACCGGGGCGCCGCCCGGACGGCGGGAGTGTACGGCGGCCACTGGCATGTCGCTGCTGCGAGCTCTGCGCCTCTGCCTGGTCGCGCGGCCCCGGCGCTGCCCGCGGAGGGGGCTTGGCCCCAGCAGCGACCTGCCTTTCTCTGTGATGCACCTTCCCCTTCCTCCAACCCCCATTCGACTCCATCCCTCCCCTCCCCCGCCCTCATTGCCTCTGCGAGGTCCAGCCCTGGTGCGCAGCCTTTCCCCCACCCCCGGGGCCCCCGAGTCTCCTAATGTTGCCCACCTGCGCACGTGCTCTCTACCCGCCCCCCGGGCTGGCTGCTCGCTGCTGCCCGCTTCTCACCCTGTTTTTCCTGTCTCCTCCAGGAGGGGCCTCTTTTGCTTCAGTCGCCCGAGCCATGGCACTCATTTCATGCCGGGCGCTGGCTGTCTTCCTCGGCCTCCAGCAAGGAGCTCCTCATGAAGCTGCGGCGAAAAACGGGCTACGCCTTTGTAAACTGCAAGAAAGCTCTGGAGGCTTGTGGCGGGGATCTCAAAAAGGTGTGAGGGAGGAGGAGGGACAGGGTGGGTCCTAGGGCCTGACCTCAGTCTCTTAGGGAGGTCGCGCTGCGGAGCATAGGAGTCAGACCTGCTGCCCAGTGACCCATAACGGCAGAGCCCTGGATAGGACTGTGACTTAACTGACAATCTCTCCCTTTGAGTCTGTCTTATTTGGAAGCAACTGACTCAGGATCCCAGGGATAACAAACCCTATTCCGTGCAAGACTGCTTTGCTGTTTCCTGCTGCTTGGAGCTGAAAGGGCTTCTGTGAGCTTTGAGTCAGATCGACCAGGACTCAAATCATGATGTCTTCACACTAACCCTGTGACCTTGGATACCTGACTTAATCTTTCAGAATTGCGTTGTTCTTGTGTATATAATGAAAATACTACTATCTGCCCCCTAGGGTTGTTGTGAAGATTAGACTTACCCAGAGCACCAGGCACAATGCTTGGTGTTTGGCATTAGGTGGTAGGCCGTCTGTAAATGATAGAGTACTTTAGTTCTGTTATAGGATTGAGGGGAAGCAGAAAGAATTAGGGAACTTGAACATATTTTAGAGCCCCATTCAGTTCTAAATTCTGTGGCTTTGTCATCTGCCTTTTTTCTTTTCAATTTGTAGGCAGAGAGCTGGCTCCATAAGCAGGCCCAGAAGGAGGGCTGGAGCAAAGCTGCCAAGCTCCATGGGAGAAAGACTAAAGAAGGGCTGATTGGGCTGCTGCAGGAAGGAAACACGACAGTGCTAGTAGAGGTGAGTTGTTTGAATTCCAGATACCAGAAGCAGCTGTCCCTTGGGTGTAAGGCTTTGTGGTAGAGCCTTTGCACTCCTCTCTCTCTCTCTCTCTTTTTTTTTTCCCTTGAGGAAGATTAGCTCTGAGCTAAATACTGCCAATCCTTCTCTTTTTTTCTTTTTGCTGAGGAAGACTGGCCCTGAGCTAACATCCATGCCTATCTTCCTCTACTTTATACGTGGGATGCCTACCACCGCATGGTTTGCCAAGCGGTGCCATGTCTGCACCCGGGGTCTGAACCAATGAACCATGGGCCGCCGAGAAGTGGAACGTGCAAACTTAACTACTGCGCCACCGGGCTGGCCCAGCCTTTGCACTCTTAAAGAAGAGGCATTTGGGGCCAGTCCAGTGGTGTAGAGGGTAAGTTCCTGCGAGGGCCTGGGATTCGCGGTTAGATCCTGGGTGGTGAGGACCTATACACCGCTCATCAGGCCATGCTGTGGTAGGTGTACCACTTAAAGAATGGAGGAAGATGGTCATGGATGTTAGCTCAGGGCCAGTCTTCCTCAGTAAAAAGAAGAAGATTGATGGCGGATGTTAGCTCGGGCCTGACCTTCCTCAAAAAAAAAAAGAGGAAGTGGTGTTTGAAAACCACAAGAGACAGTTGGAATTAAACCCATGAGACCAGTTATTAGCTGTGGATTCATTTAAGTATACAAATGGACAGATGTGTTGGTGAGAAAAGGCCGAGCAGTCTAGAATATTACTCCTGAATGTGAGTCTAGTGTAGCCTTACACCTTGTCACTGATAGTTCCCTGGAACAGTCAAATTTTAAAGCCAGGAATTATATTAATTAGTTGATAGGTAGCCAGCAGGTATTTCAGAAGTGGTTTAGGGACCACAGCTGGTAAAGAATTGGATGTGGATTCGGTTAGAGTGAGAGGAGATAAACAGGCTGACAGCAGAAGTGGTTTGGAGTTGGAGGAGGCTGGAGAATGAGGTGATTCTGACATGCAGCCACAGGCGAGTGGTGAACTGGCAGTGAGTTCTTTGGCGACATCGTGGAACCATCTTCTGAATGCGCAGGTCATTGCCAACTCACTGGCAGAACACGAATCGCTTCATTCAGTTTCTGGCCTCAGGCGAGGAGAAGAAGCGCGGCTTTAAAATTCTAGAGTCATTTATTTCTGTTTTGTTGAATCTGCAACTTGTTCTGTCGACGCCTTGGTTTATTCTCTAACTTTCAGGCACTTTTGGAAACTATCAGTAAACAGCTTATACAGCAACATCAATTTGTTCCCACAGGTAAACTGTGAGACAGATTTTGTTTCCAGAAATTTGAAATTTCAGCAGTTGGTCCAGCAAGTAGCCCTTGGAACCATGTTGCATTGTCAGAGCCTAAAGGATCAACTCTCCTCGTACAGTAAAGTGAGTTTTGGGGTTGTCTCCAACAGGCTGGATTGGGACCCCCCTGCCCATCTTTGCTGTTCCCTTTTTCAGAGATTCCCATGTCTCCTTCCTTTACTTCATCTCTCTACTTAAATGGTATCTCTTTGCAGAGGGTTGCCCTTCCTCCTGTTCCTCTGTCCTCTTACTTTGTTTCATTTAAAAGTGTTTGTTATAATCCTTATGTATTACGTTTTTCTGTGTTTATGTATGGTCTGTCTTGCCTGATAGAATGTAAGCTTCATGAGGCAGGGACTTGGTCTTTTCACTGCTGTGTCTCTGCTGGAAGAGGTGTGGGCCTAGCATTGTGCTGGGACTCATTAAGTCTGTGCTGAATGAATGGATGCCAGTGGGGTAGAGGCTGTCCAGTCAGGGGAAGCTTTATATTCAGTAATCTAGAATGGCCCGAGAAAAGGACTTTTAAATAAACATTCTGGAGAAGACCCAATTTAGGAGAATAAGCATGTTCTTGTCAATAGCAGGATCAAGGACAGAATTGTCAGTCTGCCTTTGATTCATTCTTATTGTGCGGACAGAAGTACTACTCACAACAATTTTTTGTGTTTTTCTCCTCCTATTTATCCTTCTCTTGAGATCTCATGGTAAATGTTAATTATCACTAGTATTGAATACTCATATTATATGGAAAACCGTGTTGAGATTATCTTTTAGAATTGTGTTCAGTAGATGAGTCCCTTGAACTAGAAATTCTAATCTTGATGTTGCCCGTAACTCTGAGCTATTACTTTGCTGTGCCTCTGTTGCATTATCTGTAACAAGGGACTTTGGTCCCTTTTAGCTTTATTTTTTTTCCTCTTTGGTCTTTAGTTTAATTTTTTAACTTTCATTTTGAAAAAAATTCAATCTCATAGGGAAGTTGCCAGTATTCTATAGTAAACTACAATGTATCTTATCTAGATTCACCATTTGTTAATGTTTTGCCCCATTTGCTTCACCACTTTTTGTGTATCTATTATCATCATCACTGTTGGTTTTATCCTTTTGCAAGTACGTTGCAGGCATCAGGACCCTGTCTCCCTCCAGCCTGTATCTCCTAAAGACAAAGACATCCTCTGCAGTCACAGGATGGTGATCACATTCAGGAGTTGTAGCATTGATACAGTATTTTTATTTGTGTAATATACAAGATAGGTTCATATTTTGCCAAGTAGGAGTTTTTCTTCCAGAATCGAGATCCAGAATCCAATCCGGTATCATGTGTTGCAGTTTGTTGTCTTGTCTGTTTAGTCTCCTTTCTTTGTTCCTCAGCCTTTCTTTGTTTTTCATTTGTTTGGCATTTTTGGAGAGTACAGGACAGTTTTGCAGAATGTCCTTCAATTTGACTTTGTCTGATTTTTCTTCATACTTAAACTCAAATATGTATTTTTCTAGGAATATTAAATAATCATCCTGTATTTTTCTCAGAACATCACATCAGACAGCACATGATGACTATTGGTCCCATTATTATTATTATTTTTTAAGGTTTTTTTGTTTTTCCTTTTTCTCCCGGAACACCCTGGTACATAGTTGTGTACTTTTAGTTGTGGGTCCTTCTAGTTGTGGCATGTGGGATGCCGCGTCAGCATGGCTTGACGAGTGGTGCCGTGTCTGCACCCAGGATCTGAACTGGTGAAACCCTGGGCCGCCGAAGCAGAGTGTGCGAACTTAACCACTTGGCCCCGGGGCCGGCCCCGGTCCCGTTATTTTTTATTTATTAATTTTTTCTTCAGGATTGGCCCTGAGCTGACATCTGTTGCCAATCTTTTTTTTCCTTTTCTTCTCCCCAAAACCCCCTAGTACGTAGCTGTATATTCTAGTTGTAGGTCCTTGTCGTTCTGCTGTGCGGGACACCACCTCAGCACGGCTTGATGAGCAGTGCTAGGTCCGCACCCAGGATCCAAACCAGCGAAACCCCGGGCCGCTGAAGCAGAGCACGAACTTAACTACTCAGCCGTAGGGCTGGCCCCTGTTAGTCCCATTATTGATGATGTTAATTTTGCTCTCTTGGTTAAGGTAGTCTCTTCCAGGTTTCTCCACCATAAGGTTACCATATTCCTCTTTGTAATTAACAAGTAATCTGTATGGGAGATACTTAGAGACTGTGTAAACATCCAATTCCCCAAAAAGCTTTTGCCTAAAAGTTTTAGCATCCATTCATGTTCTAGTCAGAATCAGGTATTACTATGATAGTTGCATAATAGTTATTTTTCTAACTCCTGTAATTGCTTTTACATGTATTGGTTTTGTTAGTTGGCATTCTACTGTAAGAAAGACACTTCTCTTCTTCTCCCTTTATTTAGTGATTTACTTAGTACCAACATTGACCCATGGATTCTTATTTTATACAGTAGGTTACAATTCGTTATATAATCCGTTATTCATTTTGAGGCTCAAATTAGCCCCGGATTTGGCCACTGCAAGCTGAGCCAGTGTAGGCTGGCTCCATTGTCCTTTTGATATATCAACATTATTTTCTGAATATTTCCTTACTGTTTGGTGTAACAAGATATTCTGGGCTTATATCATACTTCCCTTGCCCCAGCCATGGAATTGGCCACTTCTCTGATGAGTCCTGACCCTTTTTAGTGGGGGAATGGTTTTCAGAAACCAAGATCCGGGCATTAGGTATGCTTTATTTCTACTGAGATGTCATAGCTGCTCTGCTCTTTCAGCAGACAGAGCAGGGAAGAGTGTGTGTGTGTGTGAGTGAGTGTGAGTGTTCTAATCCTGCACCTCAGGGTTCTTCCTTTTGTTCCTCCATTCTGTGTTTGTATCTTCCTGCTGTCGTGGTGGGTACACTGGCTCCTAGCAACTTCAGTATGTTTACTTATTTACTCAGTGTTACAATGCATACTAAATTGTGTCAGTCACTTTATCCAACCGCTGGAAATAACAGATCCACTGAAGAGTTCAAGATTTCTTTGATGTTCTTTTTGTCTTTACATTACAGTTACGTGGTCAAAGGACTGTATTGAGAGTTACTTGGATTAGTTTTTATCCCCGTCTGTGAGGTTTTGTTATTCATTGGAAATACAGTTAGAGTCTTATGTTTCTGTTTAGTCAGTTTCTGATTTCACCCCAAATCCTTGTTAATGTATTTTTGATATGTAAAACATGAACAAGGTTCTGAAAGTTAAACTATAAGACACACACACACACACACTCGGAGAAGTCTTGCTCCCTCTTCTCTCTTCTGCCCCATTCTTGTCCACTCCTGTAGATAACCAACTTCATTGGTTTCTGGTTATCCTTTATGTCTTTTTGCAAAAATAAGCGTATTTATACAAATACTTTTTTCTTACACAAATGGTTGTATAATATGTATATACTGTTTTAATTTGCTTTTATTCACTTAATAATATATCCTGGAAATACTCCATAGCAGCTCTTAGAGATCTTTTTTCTTTTTTTCCAGCTGTGCGGGATTCCCTTGTGTGGCTGTGCCATGGTCTCCTCCTATGTTTGGGCGTTTAGGCTGTTTGTATTTTACAGTTAGAAATAATTCTTTAGTCAATAACTTTGTGCATGTGTACTTTCATATTGTTGCAAGTGTATTGTCAGGGTAAATTCCTAGAATTAGGATCACAGGGTCAAAGGATAAAAGTAAATGTAGTTTTGTTAGCTGTTGTCCAATTCTCCTCCGTTGGATTTGTATCGTTTTGCATTCCTGCCAACAATCTGCCAACCTGTTAGCTTTAACATTTTATGATTGTTTGAAAATATTAGTCCTCATTTTTAGGCAACTGCATTCTGAGGAGTGAGGCCAGAGGATGGGATTGGGATGGAATTGGGGGTGGTGTGGTGGTAGGATAAAATATTTATAAAAATGGAACTGTCATCAATTTTTAACATTCTTGGCTTAATGAAAACATCATCTATTTATACTTAGTTGTCTTAAATCATTTTCTGAGAAATAGGCTGTTTTTGCCGAGTCGCTTGATAATTTGAGTAGTACAGAACTGATGCATGATTGTTTTCTTTGTGCACTTAGGGTTTCTTGAATTCCTCTGAGCTCTCTGAACTTCCAGCTGGCCCTGAGACGGAAGGCTTTCTCAAGGATCAGCTGGCCTTAGCAATCGGTGAGTATTTGTAAGCATTCTGGAAACTGGAAATTAGGAACTGGATCTCCTGGTATCTCTGATGTTCCTCAAATCTAGATCAAGAATTGCCAGCCCATGTGCCTGCAAGGGTCAGATAAGATGAATGTGAGAAGTGAGTTATGTGTTAGATCTTGGTTAGCAGCGGGCACCCTGAAAAGCTCACAGTCTGCTGAAGGAAACCATTACCAAGCTCTAGCCAGTTGTTACCTTGGGGGAAATGGGGTCCCAGTGTCATCAGAATTTTTAAATTCCTGTAAAATAATTTAGATTTGTATGCAAAAATCTCCGTTTTTAGCTGTTTGCACTAATTAAAATTATTTTCAACACTCTGCAGGCATCACTAACAAACAAAGCACATCTTTAGGCAAAGATGGCCTTTTGACTTCCAGTTGATTGCATCACTATACACCATGGGGGAGATAGTACATTATGTTCTTTATAAAGGGATCCAGGGATATTTTGGGGCATCATGTTTAGGAAACTGAACTCTCTTTTAAAAAACTCTGATCCTGAATTTGTGAAGGTACGTTCTTTGCGAGCCCACTGGTTCCAGGAACCCTATCTGGATTACTGCGCCAGGACTAGTGGGGATTTTGCCTTCTTCCTGCGTGTCCTTGATGGAGGGAGGGAAGTAGGGCTGGGGTTGGACTTGCTGGGAACTTAATGCTCATCTGACGTTTCCAGTCAAAGCATCAATTCTGTTTTTTATCAGATCATCTTGAAGTATGTATTGTGTTTCAGTGAGTCATGGATGAGAAACCAGGCAGACAGCTGTATTTGGGACTTATTAAGAAATTCTGGAAGAACTGGGTGTTTGAGCCTTGTCACTTTCTGGGAACTAACTATTGGGTAGATGCTTGGAGCTGTTAAACCCTTTGGTTTTTGGAGACCCCCTTTTATGATTAGCTGGCACTGTGGCTGATGCAGGAGTATTTACCCAGATTCCTTTGTTTATTTTCCCACCCCTCCTACCTTTTGGCTTATTTGGACGTTTCTTAGAGGGGATAGCATCCTGAGAGAAAGGGAAAACTGGAATCCGTTTTTGCTTCTTATAAACAACTCTGAAAATGTTAACTTTTTATTTTTGATGAAAGGAAGTTGAAACTGTCAGATGACAGGGGGTTTTGGGTTTTCTGGGGCTTTTAGTTGTGGACTTTTTCCTCATACAATGGATGATCAGGAGTTGTCTGTGTCAGTTTTGGTGGAATTTGAGAGGGATGGTAATTTGGGGGGAAAAGAAAATAATTGCTTTAGAGTCAGATTTGAAGGTGTTTTGTTGTTGTTGTTGTTGGTTTTTTTTGAGGAAGATTAGCCCTGAGCTAACTGCTGCCAATCCTCCTCTTTTTGCTGAGGAAGACTGGCCCTGAGCTAACATCTGTGCCCATCTTCCTCTACTTTATATATGGCACGCCTACCACAGCCTGGCTTTTGCCAAGTGTTGCCATGTCCACACCTGGGTTCCGAACCAGCAAACCCCGGGCCACCGAAGTGGAACGTGCGAACGTAACTGCTGCCCTACCGGGCCAGCCCCAGATTTGAGTTTTAATTCCAGCTCTGCCATGTATTAGCTCTGTAACCTTGGGCGGGTTCCTTAGCTCTCTAAGCCCCAGCTCAGTGCAGTGATGAGAGCCAGCATTTGAGTGCTCACAACATGCCAGATACTATAAGTGCTTTTACGTGTATCTTGTTTTTTTCTCCCAATCACCCTGCTTTCAGGTTAAGTGGTATCATGTCCATTTTACAGGTGAGGAAACCAAGGCTTTGATAAATTAGTCAATGGGGTTATGTCATTAAGTCACTTGCCTGAGGTTGTGTAACCAGTAAGAGGCAGAACGGAGACCTGAGTCCAGTGTGACAGCATAGCCTGTGTTGTTAAATACCAGCTGTGGCACACTGTTGGTGCTCCATAAAGGTATTCTCCATCCCTCACCCCCACACCTTGTCCTCTTTAAACTGAAAGTAGTCTCTCCATCTTACGGCAGATTCACGGTGTCGGTGCAGAGGACTGGCTCTCACACTTGGCCACCTCTGTGCGTATTTTGGTACTACCACAGGCATCATATTCTGGAAGCATGTTTTTTGTTTTTGTTTTTTTATAGGGAAACTGGGAGAAAACATGAGTCTTAAACGAGCTGCATGGGTGAAGGTGCCAGCTGGGTTCTTTGTTGGCTCTTATGTCCACGGAGCGATGCACAGTCCCTCACTCCACAACCTGGTGCTGGGGAAGTACGGGGCGCTGGTCGTCTGCGAGACGTCGGAGCAGAGGGCAGACCTGGAGGACCTTGGCCGCCGCCTTGGGCAGCATGTGGTGGGCATGGCCCCGCTCTCTGTTGGCTCCCTGGATGATGAGCCTGGGGGAGAGGCGGAAACCAAGATGCTGTCCCAGCCATATTTGCTGGATCCTTCCATCACATTGGGACAGTATGTGGAGCCCCACGGGGTGTCTGTGGTAGACTTTGTGCGGTTTGAATGTGGAGAAGGCGAAGAGGCAGCAGAAGCTGAATAGGTTCCAGAGACTTTTGTCCCATCAGGAAATGTTTATTCTTAGTTCTGCACACTAATTCAAAAAGGAGTTATTTCCTAAGCCTCTTAAAACCCAGAATTTGTTTTTCATTTGAGTTTATAATGAAATTTTAAACTTAAAGGGTAAAATTATTAAATAAATGTTATATAATAAAGAGAGCTGAATCTTTTCCTTGTTTGTGTAATGCTGGGTTTAGCTTTTTTGTGTCTTGCTTGTGATAAGTTTTAGAAAACAACTGGTGGGCCTAACTGAGGTTACTGACAGTGTCCAGGAGAACAGGTGCCAACAGCGTGCTGCTTTGCTATTGAGCGTGCGTTTGTCACAGTGACCATCAGATGTCTGTCTCATTCCGTCTTACTCCTTCTCTGACACAGAACTCTCCTGTTCTGCTTCCGCTTTGCGATGCTTTGGACTACAGCTGCTATCCTGGAACTTCCCCAGTTACATTACTTGTGCCACATGGATTCCTTTGGAATTATTGACTCAACCTTAGAGTTGTCTGGAAAATGTGGTTCATTTGTTGATGTCTAGCGTGCTTTGAAGGCCCTCTGCAGTGCAGTATGCACTAGTTCTGGCCTCATTACTGAAATTAATAACAGATGGCCCTATTTCTCTTTTGGATAATGGGGTGTGGATGGTTGGGGACTGAGGTTTCCTGGACAGCCGTAAGGCAGATTTTGGCATTCTGTGCCAGGAACAGGAATTACAGTGTCCAGTTATGCAGAGAGCTCACTGCACAGCGCCTCTTTACTTCCCCAGTGCTGACGCGTTCCTCCCAACATAACACAAAATAATTACCATAACGGAAGCCCAAAGCACTGAAACGAACTCCTCTCGTTTGCTCATACAGGTATCTGTATTTGAAAAGTTAAAAACCTCTGGCACATACAGATGTGGGCATTTGGATTTTGACTTTAGGGTACATATGTGAATAACTTCAATGATGTGTGAGTTAAATAGGTTTTGGGAATACCGATCTTAAAATCTAAAACAACTTAGGTCTTTGCCCCAATAGTAAACACTTTAAACTTTTTTTTTGTTCTCTTAGTTTTGACTTCTCAAGATTCATGCAGTTTTAGTGTTTTTTGCTGAGGCTTTAGCCAGAAGGCCTCAAAGATCAAGAAGTAGGTGGTTAACATTTTAGGTGTATAACAACTAAGGAAGGCAGGGATGAGAAAATGGAGAACATGCTGTGGTTTGCAGACCATACTGTATCTAAATTAAGTAGCTAGATGTTAGGCAAAAACTGGTAGATAAATTCTTTCCTTATATTGGCACTATCTGCTCTCTTCTGTGGTCTTTCAATAGGCATATGCTTTCTTATCTTAGAAAAGCCCCTTTTCTTTCTTCATTTGGAGCTGTTTCCAGCCAGGCAGAGCAGCAAATTGCCCTCTTGTGATGCCAAACACAGAAACAAAGTCCTGTTCAGAGAGGTAATTCTAGGAGAGAAAACAAAGTTTCTAGTTAGAAGGAAGCCGTGGCACCCGTCACTGCCAACAGTGGTGGGGAGAGTGGAGCCAAGAGAGAGTTCTAGGTGGGTCCTAGAATGGGGAAGTAGGGTGAGTTTTTCAGAAAGTAAAGTAGACTTAAATTATTCATTGGAGGGTTCTTCAGGTTGTGGAGTCCCATCTTGGCCTGTGGAAGGACTGACGAGATTCACTTTTCTCACGGTCCCACCTGGCACCAGTTTCTTGCCAGAAGGACAAGAAATGGGTTATATATTATGAATGAATTCTAGACATTAGCTTTTGGCTGAATGGAGAACTGAATCAAGTGACGGTCTTCCTTGCTTTAAGCCCTTATCTGCTGTTTTTATCCAGGCATGTTCAAATGCAAGATCAGGCGGATCTTGTTGAGAGCATAAAATTCTAACATTTAATTGTTGATGCTTAATGAATATTTTCTATCCAAGTGAAATTATTATGATATGGCCTCTGTTTTCAAGAAAGTTGTAGTCCAGAAACTTAAGAGTTGGTTAGATAAAACACTGTGGAGAATCCAGAGATCCTTCCCAAATCAAATCCTTCAAGGGGAAAACTCATTCATTCATTCAAGATGAATATGTTAATTCATTCAGCCAAAACTTAAGGAGTGCCTACTATCTGCCAGGCACTGTTTAAGGTGCTGAAAAGCTGAGACTATCGTGGTGAACAAGACAAGACAGACAAGGTCCTTGCTCTTAAGGATATCACTAGAGGGGGAGATAGGCAATGAACAGCATAAAGGGCCTGGAGGGGCTGGGGGGGCAGTGTCAGGTATGGTGGTCAAGGGAGGCCTTCCTTGGGAGGTGACATTGAAGCTGAGACCTCAATAATGAGAAGGAGCTGGCTCTGATGATCTAGAAGGAGAGTGATTTTTCAGGCAGGAGCAATAGCAAGTGTAAGGCTCAAAGGCTGTAGTGAGCGTATTTGAGGACAGAAGAGCAGCCACTGGCTACAGGGTGGTGAGTGAAGAGGATAGTGGTAGGTGAGATGGAATCAGAGAGGTGGGCAGGGCAGATTGTGGAGGGCCTTGGAGCCCTGGGAAGGACTTTGGACTGCTTTCTACGTGCAGTGGAAAGCCAGTCGAGGGGTTTTAGATGGAACAGTGTCCTTTGTTTTAAAAGCCCGTTGGCTGTTACGTGGGGAACAGACTGTAGGGACAGGGGTATAGTCCATGATGGCTGGACCAGACTGGCAGCAGAGAGATGGACAGGAGTGGACAGAGACTAGCAGATGGATTGATGTGGGAGGTGAGAAAAAAGAATCAAGAGGGAGCCCTAGGTTTTTGACTTGAGCTACCGGGTGGCTCAAATGTCTGTGGACTGCCTGCAATGAGCCAGAACTGTCCTAGGCTATCTACGGAGACGATGCTTTTACTCAAGGAGAGCTCCACTGATGTCAGACACAGTTCCTTCAGCCACTCACCTCCTTTTTGGCGGGGTTCACATCCTCAGGCAGCTCCTGATTCTGATTTTTCAACAGAACTTCTATAGGGTAATATTTTGGCTGAGAATTCAGGGAGAGGGTTGCGTTCCTCATGTCCTAGGTAAGATAAGGTAAGAATGTAGACGCAGGGTAAAGGCCTGCAATCTGCACATTTGAAGTTCTCTGTGTATGATATTTAACATTTTGGTTTATACCACTTCACCCTTTGTAATCATCTTTTAGGACAGTGGTCCACAAACCTGGCTGCATGTCCGAATCATCTGGGAATCTAAAATATTCAGATTCTGGGGTCTTTCTTGGGAAAGCTGATTCAGCTATATGGTAAATCCCATATAGCTAGTTTGGCATAAATGCTGTGCTTAAATCTCCTTTAAATCTTGTGAGCACATCTCTTCTCTGGGCACTTTTACTTAGGATCTACATTTCCAGCCTTTAAATGACTTCAAATTGAAGTCCTCTTTTTGTTAAATACATTTTAGAGATGCTACATCGCCATTAGCTTTGGAATCCTGAGTTTGCAGAGCACGAGGGCAAGGCTGCCGCGTGGTTGGACACCCGGTGCCATGCACGTGTCCTTACGTTAAAGAGCTGTTGGACGCTCTCAGCCACTAAAATCATGGTAACGGCCTGAGTCTCTGTGGATCCACTGTCAGAAACTGATAAACGGATCATTTGGGTTGTTATTTCTGAAAAATACTGCCAGTCAATTTAGTCTGCCCTGAATGACAGAGTTGAATAATAAAACTAGTTTTTGTTATTATTTTTTAAACAGCAAGTCTCTTCTAAATTCTGGAAGGCAGTAAAATAAGGAACTTGGCTCTAAAACCTGCTTTTCTATTGATTAGAGCAATCTTTATATCAAAGTAGACCCCTAGAGTGATCTGAGAAGGACGTGAGGGGTTTCGCCCATGTGGCGCCTGTAACATTTGCTGTTTCCCTCTGACTCTGGCTGCCCATGTGACTTGCTTCTCCAAGAGCAAAGCGAGCTCACAGCAGTGATTCTCGTGATGGCAGCGGCGTCTCCCAGCTCTTCCTTTAACTGTTCATATGATTTCCCTGCCTGGAGAGAAGAGATGGAAGACACAGGATGAGGTGCTGCTCATAGGGGAGGGGCATCTCAAGCAGTGTCTGTACTTTTGGGAAAAGCAAAAAAGCCAGAGAAGACATTTCATGGATAAACAAAAATGAAAGTTCCCCCCTTCAGGGTCCATGCAGGGTTGGAATGTACTACAACATGACCTGCATTCATCGCTGGCGTCCCCTCAATCCTCCATATGAGATATAAGACAGAGCAGTTGATAGGAGTCAGAAGACCTGGCTTCTTCATACTGGTTAATTGTGGCTTTAGACAAATAACTTCTCCTCTAAGCTTCCTCATCTATAACACGGGACACAGTGTCTGCCCTAGCTGTCAGGATGGTTGTACAGCTCAAAAAGATCGTATGTGTGGGTATATTTCATACACTGTTTATTACTTCCACACACTGCCTATTCCTGGGACAAGCTGTGAGTTCTCTAACTGGACTCAGTGCTGTCGTGGGTGGGAAAGAAAGAAAAGTAAACAGCAGGAGAGGGAGTCAGATACAGATTTACTCGGCCCGAGGGTACCCCACCTTCCCACCATGCTGTTAATGCTGAGCCCCCTGGCAGGACAAATGTCTTCCCATTCTCCCTGTTCTTACGCTCCAAATGTGAGAGTCCCAGGCCAAGAACCAGCCTGTGAAGATGGGAGGCTCGAAGCCCTGTTTAATGATCAGGATTGGCGTGTCGGCGTCTCGGCCGCTGGGGTGAGTGCTCAGGTACTCCTGGGCTGTGGCAAGGGCTCTCTCCTTCTCTGTGGCGTTGGCCTCAGCCCCAATCCACAAGAACACCTGTTGGGGTAGGGATTGCATATGTGTTAACATGCCCATACCAAGGACTAAGTGCCAGATCTTATGCGCTGCCCTCAGCAATTCACAGCCTCAGCAGAGAAAGGATTTCCCAGAATCAGCTTGATTTGTGATTTTAATTGCCACGTCTATGTCCCAGATCTCCATCTCGAGTCCTGAGCTCTCCCTCTGAACTTCAGCTTCCTGAATCCAGCTTCTCGCAAAACACCCGTTCTTGGTTGTCTCCAAACACCTCAAATAGAACACCCCCAAAAGTAGCTCTTCCTCTCTAAACTTGTATCTGTGTCTCCATTATTGGCGAGTGGCACCCACCCAGTCACCCAGGGCAGTAACCTGGGAGTCATCCTAGACATCCCCATGTCTACTGGGTCACAAGGCTGGCCACCTTACCTCCTATGCATCTGTCAAATCTGACACCAGCGCTTCACCCCTCCTCCACTGCTCCTCTGCAGACCCGCAGCAGCTCTCGCTATGACAATAGTCTCCTGACTGCCCTCCCAGTGTACACTTTTCGTTTTTCTCACGCCCATCCCTCCATCCCTCCTCTCCTACAGTTGCTGGAGTGATCTGTCTAAAGAGCAGTCTGATCATGTCACTCACCTGCCTAAATTTCAGTAGTTTTCAAGGATAAATTTCAAACCTCTTGACATGGTAGGTCAGGCGCATGCCTACTTCTTCAACTTCATCTCTAGCTCCTTGGCTCTCCTTACGCAATAATGCTATGTCTTGCAGTGCCCCGTGTCCTATAATATTTCATGCCTCACTTTCACATTAGTGCTGTCTCCTTTGCCCGGAGTGCCCCCTTTACCTGAGTAATGCCTACCCCTCCTTTGAGATTCAGCCTGGGAGCCATCTCCTCCAGGAGGTCTTCTCTGAGCCCCTAAACTGTGTTGAGTGCCCCTAATTTGTGCTCCCATGGCACCTTGTATATACCTCCATCATGATAAAATGATGTTTCTATGTCCAGTGCCTACGTCGGCCTGTAAACTCTGACTGCAGGCCCTTCACCTTGGTGACAACACACCTAGCAGTGACTAGCATGGAGGAAGAGGAGGTGCCGAGTGTATTTGCTGAGCCAAACTGAAGAAAATGGGGTGTGGAGGAGGTTGCCTTGAAGATAGCCCTTCCACACCCCTTTGTTCCCTATCAGGCCCATGTCTCTGGGTGTGGAGCCTGCTGCTATCCATCCTGAGAGAAAGAGGTGTATGATGAGAGGAGGGCCTGGTTTTCCCAAAGCAAGGTGGGAAAATTCCCAGGATGGTGCGTTTTAAACAACATTCTTTTCTCTCCAACCCTAGTGAAAAGCAGGCTCTTCCTTTGGTCACAACTGACGAACACCTGATTGACTAGAGATGGTCCAGAGCTACCCCGGCATTATTCTGGGGTGGAGGTACTACACAAAAAATAGCCTAGACTATGGGGATCTTTGTCATTTGTTCCAAGCTCCCTGGCTATGTCTTACCTGGTCCCAGGTATCCAGGAGCATCACATCACCGGGGTTCAGGTCATCCTGGGTGAAGTCTGTGATCTCAGTGACAATGAACCGGCCAGTCTTATTGGAGCATTCAAAGAGACGGGACTGGACATCTAGGATTTCCTGCTGTAGTCTGCAATAGAGTTCATTTAGAGGAACTGAGCTGCTTAGAAATCCTGTGCAGTTCACAGGCGTGGGAGGCAGGGGGCGCCCGGAGGAGGGGATGCTGTGATCCCGTACCTTTTGTCATTGGCATAGGGAATTTTCCCTCCCAGCAGGTCCCAGAACTCAGCAGGCTCCTGGCCCTCGGCCACAGTGTTCTCACTGCCGTCACAGAGAAGCCCAGCCAGCTCCTTCGCCACCGCCCGCTCGTCCCCACTCGACCCCTGAGAGTGGGTGAGGAGAGCACAGATGTTAGTCACACACGGGCACAGTGATGTGGGAAAGAAAGCTTCTGAGACTAATAGCTCAGTGTAGCCGGGATCAGCTACCAAGCCACAGTACCTCAGGACGAGCAGATGCATAAGTTTGTTCTAGTGCTGGGAAGTGGGGGAGACACGGTGTGGTGGCAAAGGACAGGACTAGACTCTGAAACCCACAGCGGATGCTGACAAGAGTCACCTTTGTTTTGGCTTCAGTTGGAATTTTAGCACCTACTGTTGATTTTTTTTTTAAGAAGAAAAACTTAAATTCATTTTTAAAATTACGTAAAGGATAATTCATTCTTTTTGTCACACAGTTCTATGAGTCTTGACAAATGCATGGAATCATGTCACCACCACCACAACAAAGATATAGAATAGTTGCCTCAACCCACCGAGAGATTCCCCTGGTCTGCCCCTTTGTGGTTAAGCCCTCCCGAGTCCCTAACCTTTGGCAACCACTAGTCTGTTCTCCATCACGATAGTTTTGCCTTTTCCAGAATGTCATAAGTGGCATCATACACTCTGTAGCCTTTGAGTCTGCCTTCTGTCACATAGCATAATGCATTTGAGATTCACCCTTGTTGTTGTGAGTGTCCGTTCCTTTGTGTTGCTGAGTAGTATTCCACTGTATGGATGTACCCCTGTTTCTCCTTTCTCCAGTTGAGTTGCTTCCAGCTTTTGGAGATTGTGAATAAAGGTGCTATAAACATTCGTGTACAGATTTTTGTGTGAAGATAGTTTTTTATTTCACTTGAGTAAATACCCAGGGGTGGGACTGCTGGATCATATGGTAAGTGTATGTTTTATAAGAAACTGTCAAATTGTTTTCCAAAGGTCATATTTGCATTCCCACCAGCAATGTGTGAAAGTTCCTGTTGTTCTGCATCCTTGTCTACACTTGATATTATCAATTTTTTTTAGCCATTCTAATAGGTGTGTAGTGGTACCTCATTGTGGTTTTCATTTGCATTTCCCTAATGATTAATGATGTTGAGCATCTTTTCCTGTTCCATTCTCTTTTGTAAAACAATTTTAGTTTTAGTGCTTTTTAATGCAGATGCAATCTGAATTGACAAAGATCACATTTTTAGTGTTTTTGTTCAGATATGATTTACAATCTGCCAAACTGGTGTGGAAAGATCAGCTTATCCTGCCTCTGTCCATGCAGAAGCATATAGAGTGTCTCCTGGGTTTGAGCGGTGCTGTCGGTGAATTTCTAATTGGAGGCCTAATCGTGGGGAATGCTGGCAGTCCTTTTGTAGAGCCTTTGGAGGAAGGCTCCTCTTTTTGAGGACTGCTCCAGCCTGCTCTCCAGTTCCTTTGCCCTTGCTGAGGGGGGCAGGCACAGGGCTGGCTCCCCGGGGCTGGTGTGACCACTGGGCCCAGACATCCTACCTTGCCAAACCACAGGTAGTGCTCTGCCTGGGTCCGCAGCAGAAAGACATCATTGGAGTTTAGGGAGGAGGTGAAGGCTGGAACCTCCACTGCTTTGGCGTTAGATTTGTCATTTCCTTGAATCTGGAAGAGCCTCACTGGAGGATCAGGTTCGGCATTTCCCTTCCTGGAAGTCCCGCCCTAGAGGGAAGGAGGAAAGCAGAGTGTGGTTCTAAGGAGCACCATGTGAGCAGAGACTGGGCTAGCCCTCGTGGAGAACGTGGATGTATTTGATACCATCTTTGCCCCTGAAGAGCTTCTAGGCTAGCTGGGAGAGGTTGGGGTGAGCTGGGGTTACGGTACCAATAATATTCTCTTTCATTCTGAGACCTTTATTATATGCCATGCTCTATTACCTACATCATTTCATTGATCCTCTTTTTTTAAATTTAAAAAATTTTTCCTTTTTCTCCCAAAGCCCCCTGATACACAGTTGTATATTTTTAGTTGTGGGTCCTTCTAGTTGTGGCATCTGGGACGCCGCCTCAACATGGCTTGATGAGCAATGCCATGTCCGTGCCCAGGATCCGAACCGGTGAAACCCTGGGCAGCCGAAGCAGAACACGCAAACTTAACCACTTGGCCATGGGCCGGCCCCCTCACTGATCCTCTTAATAACTCTGTGAAGCAGGTGTTATCATCCCACGGTACAGATGGGGAGACTGAGGCTTAGAAACCTGGCTCATAAGTGATAAGACTAGGACTTAACCACAGGCTCGTGTGCTATCAAGCATGCGACATTACACATTCCTGGCAGTGCTTCAGCCAGGGCTTCATGGAAGATGTGGGACTTGAATTTGAAGGGGCACACTTGGGGGGGAGGGTGGATGGGGCCTGTTAAGGCACATGTGAGGTCTAGTGAGGAGACCCATCTGACTGAGTGGCGTGTGTAGGTTAGGGAGCCCAGAGTAACTAACGCACCTGCACAGGTAACGTGGGTCAGCTTAGGAAAGACCTTGAACATTATTCAGGCAGTGGGGTTCACTTGAGTGTCTTAAAGAGACTGACCACCTTCTTGTCTATGTCTACCCCGAGCCCTGCTCCCTGCCCCTCCTCTCCTCTCCCGTAGCCCCCTGCGCACTTGTTGGTTCTGAGCGTTCCTGCTCATGGTGTGACTTTATCTGAGGGTTCTCACCTCAAAGATAACCAGCTTCCCTTTGAAGATGGCCATGAAGTGGCGGGGCTCCTTCCCCATGGCAACCCGGACCTGCACAGGGGCCCCATCAAACTGCCGGTCCAGCTCCACCGCCTGGTATGCCGAGGCTGCCAGTTCATCCTGTGAGGCGTGGCGGCCCTGCGGTGGTGAGAGGGGAGAGATAGGCCCCTGCTGCCCCCAACCCCACTCAGTGGCCAGAGGAGGCATCAAGCCCCAAAGCTGAGAGCCTACCCCAGGCTTACCTGCCAGATGTACAAGATGTAGTGTGGCTTCCCGCTCACCTCATACGTATAGAGAACCAGGTAGCAGTCTCCCCCATAAAAGAAGCCATACCACTGATGCTCCACGGGGACCAGCTCCAGGTTTTCAATTCTCCAGACCTGGCCATAGAAGGAGACACAATAACTCAGGGATGGGGGTCGTGTTTGAAGAGACAACTACCTGAAGGGAACTGGGCCGTGCTTAACAGTAAATCCAGACGGATAAGGCACTACTATCTACTCAAAGTGCCCCTCCCCCGCCGGCTCTTCCTTCCCGGTGGTGAGGGCTTGGCACATTTGCATGATTTGAATCCCGAGAACCGGATCGTCCCTGGTCAGGTGCATCCCCATCACAGCCCAGACATGATTTGAATCTATCTGCCAGGCGAGTTGTTGATAGCACACGGAGTATCTGCCTTTCACTTCCCTGAGGAATTGTGGGAAACCTCTGCAGACTCGACACCTCATAGAGAATACTCCCGAGGTGCCAGAGGTGAAAAGGAAAGCAAAGCAGACAGAGAACCACCCGCCGCCTCCTCTCCAGCAGAGCAGCCAGGAGGGCGAGTGCTGCCTGCCCACCTGCCCTGGGGTGCAGTCATTGGGCTTACCTCAACTTTGCCGTTGCCATCGTCCACCATTCTTTCCTGGGCAGCGACCTCTGGTTTGTCGTGCAGCAGAGTCACATCAAATTTATCCTGGAAAACTTTAGCTGCAGAGAAGGGGTTGGGAGAAACCCCGTGAGTGAAGAGCGTCCATGCCTGCCCTTCTAGAGAGTCCCAGCAGTGAGAAGACTATCTGGGGTCAATCCTACCGATTTTACCAACGCTGAACGTTTTCCCCAGGCCGACGGTCTGTTCCTTCACTGACCACTTCTGGAACAGCTGCTTGAACGTGGCTGACTCGGCGCCATCGTTGACGGTCTCCACATTGGTGCTGCTGGGATAGCCCTTCATCTTGATGAAGTTCTGCAGACACCCCCACCCCCGAAAGGCAGGTCAGTCAGGGAGTGCGCTGGGTTCTTTGCTTGGCTGGTGGATTCACCCCTTTGAAGCCAGTTGGTAGGATTGCTCCCTTCTGGGATTGAGTCAAATTCTAACTCACTTCTGTCTAGGGACCAGGTTACCTGCCTCAAGGAAAGGACTGAGTGGGATATTTTGGCATCTTTTCATTGGCCTGTTAGGATTGTTACTAATTGTTTTTGCAACATCATCTAGACGGTTCTTTCAGCGCTCACGTACTCTACTGAGTGTATCATGTTCTTTCGCCCGTTGACTGCTCTGTAAGTGCATCCTGCTTGGTTCATCTGCATGTGTCTGCACGATACCATAAGCTCCCTGAGGACAGGGCCATTAACCTTGATATGTGATGTCCCCTGCAATAGTAACAGCCACCTTTTATTGAGCAGGGGCGTGTGCCAGGTACTGTTCTGAGTGCTTTACAAATACTATTTAATCCTCACAACAACCCCAGGAGATGGTATTAAGGCTGGATTCGAATCCCAGCTTGTTTGTCTGACTTTGACATCCATGTATGTAACTGCGGTGTTAGATGCTCAAGTGCCTACTGTGGCTCTCTGAGCACATCAGAAGTGTTACAGAACTTTCTGGACAATACTGCACAGGTGTAGCTCCTACCAGGGCTTTAGACATGGCCGTCTGTTTCTCAACCTTTGTGGCTCCTCTTCCTTTCCACACGTAGATCTTGGTTCCACTTTGGTCCAGGATGTAGCAGTCCTGCCGCAGTCAGGGTAAAAGTGGTTACTGCTGCTCGAGGCCAGAAGGAGGCCTTTCCCCAGGGTCCGCCTCTCAAGTCTGGCCCCCAACCCCAAGCCAGGCCCACTCAAGCTCTACTTACATCATGGTTCAGTAAGTCCTGGACCAGAGGCCTCGTGGCTACCTCTGTGACTGCTAGCTGCCCAGCTGAGTCTGAGACACTGGAGAAGGGGAGAGGTGGGCCTGAGCATTCTCTTCTACAAAGCATGCTGTGGCTGATTTGAAATGTTCCTGGCTTTGTTTTAGTGTGGAGGCTCTGGGTGGAGTTGACCTTCTTAGGACAGGTGTGGCTTGCACGCAGATGGGAATGTGAGGGACTCTGCTCTCTAGATGAGACTTTTGTGCGTCTCTCCCAGACTTTATCCCGCCCACATCCCTGGGCAGGTATAGACCCGAGTAAAGGCAGAGACTTCCCAAGAGACCGGGAAGAGTGGCCCCAAGAAAAGACAGTAGCTGCTTCCTTGAGTGGGGAGCACCAAGCTCCTTCTAGAAAGACTAAAAAGACTTAAAAAAGACTAAAAGAAAGCTGGATGCCTGCACCCCAAATGAGGAGCCAAGCAGAAGTGCTTGGTTTTCTAGGGGACACCCTCTCCCTTCCAACCAGCAGCCAGATTTAGCTACTTACTGATACAACATGATATTTGATTTCTGCTGCTGATCTATGATCTCATCGGGGACTGCAGGCTTGATAACGGAGCGTCGGCCGAGGGTGTCCTGAAGGACCTTCATCAGCTCCGGGCTTGCCGCCTCCTTGTCTCCCTCGATCACTCCTATTTCAGCACGGCCCCCTCGCTCCCTGTCCCGAATATCCTTTGCCAGGAGCATAGCCTGTCAAAGAAGCCCAAGGAAGCTTTTAGCTCATCTGGGCCCCCGTTCCGCCTGACGGCTTCGGGAGGAGCAGCCTGGATCCCAGACATAGGAGTTATTCTGATGCTCAGGAGCCAGGGCAGAGTCTCAGACTGACGCACTTGGACGGTCTCTAAAACAGATTCTACTCAAAAGCAGGGGTCCGGCTTGAATCTCAGAGAAGAGTCAGCGAGGAAGGAAGAAGGGAAATGCCCCTGAGAGAGTGCACATCCCTGACCAGGCCTGAGGGAGAGGCGGGAGCACCAGGACTGGAAAGAGCCACACCTTCAGGCGCTCCCCACTGTTGCTCTCGGGGCCGTTCCACTGGATGATGACCTTCCCAAGGTCCAGCAAGAAGACATCACCTCGGTTAAAACTGTCCCAGCTCATTTCCACCTGCCGATGAGAGAGGCAGACATTGTTCAGGAGGAATTCTTAGGTGCCAGCTGGAGAGGGCCTGGGCCCAGGACAGACTGGGCAGGACTTACCTCGGTGGCCCTGATGTGCCTCTTCCCCTTCACGTGTAGCAGCCGCTTCACGTCGTAGGTGTTGGTCTCCACGTGCTTCATCCCAGAGGCCACACCCCCCTTCTTGTAGCTAAGGGAACAGCCACTCAGTTATTTATTGAACACCTGCTGTGTGCTAGAATCTGGGGGGACAGCTGTGAATTACACAGAAGCAGCCTCAGCCTAGGTGGGTGATGACAGTAAATAAGCCACGTGAATATAGATGGTATCTAACTGCTGCCACAGAAGCAGACTTGGTGACAGACTTTCTGACAGAACGTCAGGGCAGTCTTAAGATATGAAGAGGAATAGGAACCGACAACCAGAGGACTGGCGCTCTAGACAGAGGGGATGGGCAGGACAAGTCCCCACAGCATGGAAGAACCGCTTGTGTTCTAGGAGCTGTCTGGATGTCAGTGCGTGACCGGGAGAGGGGCACAGTCGGGCAGCAGCAGAAGCCTTAACGACCCCAGGGCCTTAAGACCAACCGACTCCAGGAATCAGCTCTCCTGCACACCGCTCCCCCCCGACCCGCCACGCTCACCCCAACCCAGCCTCCATCCCAGGCGTCCCGCAGACAGGCGCCCTGGAGCAGAGGCAGCGGCTTTGTCTTCGGGTTCACTGGTACTCAGTGTGGTGCCTTGTGCCCAGCAGGTCCTCAGTCAGTGGGGACTGCTGACCTGCAAGAAGCTGGCCTTGGACCAGCCTCAGAATTCTTGAGCTCATGGGAATTCCTCTTTTTGTTTTCAATCTCAAGTTCACAGTTTTGAGGTAATTTAGTTCCTTCGTTCATGGAACATTATCCCCATTGGCCGTTACAAGACCCCTTTCTTGTTTTAAGTGATTATGTATTCCCTGCTGTCTGCACACCCTACTGCCACTCTTTTCCCTAGTAGGCATCCATTCTAACAGTTTAACATCGATCTTTTTATTTCCATTCCAAAGTGTCCTATCATTTTGTGTGCATGTGTTTTTTTAAAACAGAATTGGCATTCTGGGGCCGGCCCCGTGGCCCAGTGGTTAAGTTCGCGTGCTCCGCTGCGGTGGCCCAGGGTTTCGCCGGTTTGAGTCCTGGGCACAGTCATGGCACCGCTCATCAAGCCGTGCCAAGGCGGCGTCCCAGATGCCACAACTAGAAGGACCCACAACTAAGAATGCACAACAATGTACAGGGGGCTTTGGGGAGAAAAAGGAAAAATAAAATCTTTAAAAAAAAAAAGAATTGGCATTCTGTTATATATTTCAAGTCTGTTTCTTACTGTGTTCACTAAGCACCGTGTTTGAAGATCTGTCCACATGTTAGGTGTGCATCTAACCCGTCGCCTCCAGCTGTGGCATAGTACTCCTTGGAGTTGGAGTATCTTTCCTGTCCAGTCTCCCAGTGATGGTCGCTGTACATCGCCTGCAGCTTCCCACCCCCACTAACGATATTGCTGTGAATGTTCCGGTTCATGTGCCCTCATAGACCTGGGTACGTAAGAAGTCCTCTGAGTTATACACCCAGGAGTGGGATTTGCCTCAGTGGCCACTGACTTCTTCCTGCCATGCCAGTCCTCCCTGCCACCTGCAGGACACAGGGCTCCTGTTCCCCATAGCCTCGACAACACCTGGCACCACTTGCTCTCGAATCTGTGCCATTCTAATAGGCAAAGTGGGAGCTCTGCTTTGATTTGCATTTCTCTTATTACTTTCTTCACATACTTCTGGCCCTTTGGGTTTCCTCTTTAGTAAACTGCCACCGTTTATGTCCTTGCCCGGTGCATAACTACTCACATGATGCCCTGCTTGAAGTAGCCACGGAAGGTGTCGGACTCATGGTACTGGACCTCTCGGTGCTGCACGGGGCCGCCCCCCAGGTAGTCATCCAGCTGTGTAGTATAGATGGCCGCGCAGCTCTGCTCATCCTGAGAGGAGTCCTTCCCGATCCAGAAGTGGATGTCCTGGGAGAGGAGACTGCCCACTCTCCGGGTCTGGGAGGCAGCCGGAGAGATCCTGTCAGGGGCCAGCTCACCCCTCTTTGCTGCTGGCCCCTCTGGCATGGGAAGGAGGCAGCATAAAGTGGCTTGTGTCCTGTCCTTGGCAGACTCAGGGCCTCCCTCCCTCCCTGCGGTGGCCCCTGTACACACCTGCTATGTGGTTCAAGCTCTGGCAGCCCAAATTCCTCCCTAGATCTGGGGCAAGTTGGCAACTTATTGTTCTCAAAATGACTGGGGGGGATCTGCCCACATTGGTCCCCAGCCTCACCCTGCCGCTGCTCTGCTGGCCTCACACAGCTGGCACAGTACCGGTCTGTCCATCTGCACCGCTCCTAGGATACTGTTTCCTCAACGAGAACAAGCACTTGGAGGCCAGAGACGGCCTTGTATTTATCTGGCCCTCCCTGACACCACGTCAGTCCGGGTGAATCTGGGGTCTGGGCCCAGGAGAGAGAGTGCTGCCTGTGGGCTGCTCGCTGCTGCAGAGGTTCAGCCTGAGGGCCCCACCCCCACCCTCTGATGCAAAATGAAAAACCCTGGCCTAAGAATGGCCTTTGCTAGTCAAACTGGAGGCCTGTTCTCTCTGACATTAAGGAATAATCAAGGCGGTACCAGGGCCTGATAAGCATCATCATCAGACCTCTCAGTGGAGCTCAAGAGCTGATTCCCAGGGGAGAAGCTTGTGGGAAAGGGGTGGCGGGGGGGCTGGCGCTCACCGAGAGGATGACGTAGCAGTCCCCCTCATAGAAGTTGCCATGGGCATTCAGGGGCACCAGCGCCAGCTCCATTTTCTGGAAGAACAAGGGGTGTGTAGAGGCTGCATTCCCTCCTCCCCTCCCCACAAGCCCCGCCCTCCTCCAACAAGCCTCCTTCTCCTCTTCATCATTTGGCACAGGCACCCGGGGAGATGTCCCCACCCATCTCACAGGGCGTGGCAGCCAGCAACAGGATTAGCGTGGCCACCCCTCTGGCCTCTGCCGAGCTCCACCGGCATGGCCCCGGGTCTGAATCTGGGTTCCTGTCTTCACCCCATCCTCCTCCCCACGGCCTCTTGGCTTGTCTTGCTGCACCACCTCCAGCCCTTCGCAGGGACGCTATCAAGTAAAACCCTGCCGCTGAACAGCTGCATCCGTGCCCCCAACACCAATGCCCCTGCTGACCACCCAGTACTGGCCCAGGTCTGAAAGCAGAACGCTGGGATTCTGTGGGGCTGTGGGGGGGTAAGAGCCCGTGGTGTACAAGGCTCCGTGACGAGTGTCCTGTATTTGGAGTCTGGGCCAGGGCCCTGATCTGTCACCTGTATGTATGCCTTGTCCTAGCAGAGACATTCATATGGCCTCAGATATGAAGTTTCATCACTATCTCCAAGTGAGCGAAACTGGCTGTCATACTTGCATGTATTCTATGTAAAATGTGTGTTAAATATACCACGATTTTTGAAACTCTTTTAGTACCTATTACTTTTGAAATTGACTGGGAAAGGGCTCTGGGTGCTCACAGCAGGGAGGTGGGGTGAGGAGAGGGGTCTCACACTGGCAGGCGGAGCTCCCAGGCCTGGGCAGTTCCCAGCTGCAGACTGCTGAAGCTGGGAGTCAGGCAGAGGGGCTCCAGCCCCAGCAGAGGGAATGAGCTGTGCCCAAATCTGCACAGTATCCACCCAAACCTCCCCTACCGCTTTGCAGGAGCCAGAGCCCTGAGGAAGACAAATTCCATTCTTCCGACAGAAGCAGCCAGGAGGCTTGGGGCTCCTGGGTGGGCCTGGGCACCGCCCATCTCTCCAGGGCACTTAGTGGAAGTGCAGACTCACTGAGCAGATGGCTGGATAAAGGACAAGCTTATTTTTGCTTAGAGCCCTGCACTCCAGGGCTAGGAGCATTTCCTCCACCTGCCACCCACCTGCTTTGAACCCCCAGGAGGGGTCAAGGATAGGAACACATGCACTTTGATGTTGCCTCTCACTGTTCCGGAACCCCAGGCAGCAGACTAGGCTGGCAGGAGGGCTGTCACCCCAGCCGACTGGGCAACAGACTCCGCCCCCCAGATCCAGTGGTGAGGAGGGTGTGCCTCCAGCCCAGCTCACCTCTATTCTCCAGGTGATGATCCCAGGGTCATTGCCCACAGCCCTGAAGGCGCTGCTCAGAGACATGGTGCTTGTCTTCCAGGAACTGAAACATCACAGAGCCAGCTAGGGCGATGCCTCTCGGAGCAGGCATCCGTCCAGCTTTTCTCCTAAGTCACTTCCCAATCTCTTGTCAGCCATCCTGCCACGTCCTTGTGGTGCATCCCTGCACTATTTCAGCAATGGGGGAAATGACTTGTTCAAGTTCACATCATAAGCCTGGATGGCCCAGGGATCTCCAGGGAAGTTCTGCTTCCCACTTGCCACTTCCCTTGTTAAGAGCTCTGGTAACAGCCACGGTTATCTACTGAAGGGGTGGTAAACATGTTAGGTCCTCCATTGATCCACTTTCTGTTAGCTCAGTTAATTCTCATAAGCTGAGTATATTTTCTTTATCAGATGTCATAGGAAAATTGAGGTTCAGAGAGGTTAAATAATTTGCCCAAGGTCACGCACTAGAATGAAATCCGTATCTGATCCTAAAGCCTGGGCTTTTAGTCACTTTGATGTGCCACTACCCTTCCTAAACTCATTTAAATTCAGCGACAAATGGAGAGCAAAGCTTATGTGGGAATAAATATTTCCAAACGGGGTTGGAAACTTCTCCCACTCGCTTTCCCTTTGACTCTTCCCAGATCCCCTGCGCGCCAGGTCCGCTCCACAGGCAACTCTTGGACTTTCTCTTTGGGCTTTTACTTTCCAGATTTTTTAAAGTAAACTATCCTAAAACTCAAGTTATCAGTCCTGCTTTTGTCACATGACTAATATATTCCCTATGCCTCACAGAAGAAAAGGGAAAGTACACGGCAGGGCCAGGCTGGGTACCGGTAGGGGAAGGTGGCATGGCCTGGTCTGCCTGTGGGCAGATGCCCTCCTCGCCCCCCCAACTCTCACAGACCCCAAGAAGCCAGCTGAGCCGTGGCGCCCACAAGGCAGGGTGGGGAGAGGGAGGGAAGAAGCGGTGAAGAGAAGTCCATGCGGGTTTCTATTCAAGGCGTGTCTAGGGTTATCAAGCACCTACACCCGTTCATGGTCACCCAGGGGCTTTATAGAACTGCAATGCCTGCTTGGTTCTTGCTCTCAAGGAGCTTGCAATCTGACGATCATACGCCTAACTGATGGAAGCTCCTAAGAGGCAAAGGAAAAAGGAAGGGCTTGACGGACTTACATATGATAAAAACCCACCCAGAAAGGACTGGACGGAGAGTTGCTATTTGGAAGCATGTTGCACTCATTCAGAGGAGCCTGTCTGTCACTTTTTCCTTGAGCCTCCCTGGAAGAAGCCAGGGTCGGCGAATATGGGCCATTATCTAGCACGGCCTTTGGCAAAAACACAAGAAACAAGCTGCCTTTGTCTCCTGCTGTCGCAGGACTACAGCAGAGCGATGGCGTGGAGCAGCCGATGTTTGGGGATTTCATTGGATAACTTGCGCGGCCTCACCCTGTGCTGCTAAGAACTGCCGGGAAATATTTATTCAGGTTTTCTTCAGACCCTAGATTTCAGTCACTAAAGGCAAATGCCGTGACCCAACTAAGGGAAGGGGACAAGGGCCAATAAATTCCTTTCTTGGACACAGAGCAGTGTCCACCCAGTAAAAGCCACGCCGACTGGCAGTCTCAGGGCGAAAGCAGGCCCGTTTCCCAGCAGGACCTCTCCAGGCAGGAAAAGGCTCCCTGGGCCAGGCTTCCCCAAATGCAGGAGAGGACATGCTCAAAGAAGGGACTTCCTGCCATACTGGAACCCCCAGAAAATGTGCTTCCATCCATGACATCAAAGTCCCCAAGCTCAGTCTCTCCCCCTCTCCTCCCCAAGTCCTACTATTAATTCAGCACCCTTTGAGGTGACTGCAGAAACTCCTGGGGAATCCCCAGGTTCAAAGCCAGTGTTCCCTAATTCTTACCGAGATACCCTTAGGAAGAGACCCCCAAGCAGAGGAAGCTGGTTTTAACTTCTGTCTTGTCCCACACCGTCTTTCTGAGATAGGTGAAAGGGGTCTTCTCCATCTTTCCCAGCTTTTGAAGATGTGCCCTTTTCTGTTCAGTGGTCTCTAAAAACGCCCTTGACTTCTCAGCAGTAAGTTGGCAAAACTAGTCACAACTCTTAGTTCAACCCTTTAAAAGCTTCATCCAAGACGACAAAACTGGGAAATTTCAACCTCCTCTCCCTTCCCTTTCTTTCTTGTTCGGCAGAGTAGCACTCAAAAACCAAACCAGCCTTACCTTGTCTCCTCTCCCACTGGTCTTCCCACTGCGCTGGTGAGGAAGCAGCGGTGGGATGGAAGAGCCACCCCAAAGTGGGAGGCTCCAGGTCCTGCAGCCTCAGCTTAGCAATGGCTGCACAGACACTGTCTTATATTTGCTTGTGTTTGCATCTTAACCACATTTTCCTTGTCCTGGCCAATCACAGCCAACCCAGCCCTGGGCTTCACTTATTCAAATCAGAGGGAAAGCTTTATCTGTTCCTATTCAAAACAGCATAAACAAGAGGTGCAGACTTTTAAAGGCTTCTTTTAACTCCAGCTCCACGCCCCGATCTAATTGATTTTTGAAAAGTGTACAGCCCATCAATAATGCAGGAAAGAGAATGGGAGGATATGAAATTTGTCATATTGTAGAGATGAATGCATTTACGCTGATGACAGGAGGCAGGGGCTGGAGCCACCCACTGAGTGCCTGGTACATCCAGGCTGGCGAGCCCTTCCTGAGAAGCTTCTGGGCACTTTTTAGAGGGAGGGAAGTCTAAGAGAGAGGCCAGCAGTGTGTTACTAGACCAGTTTTGCTCCCTGGGGTCATACGTCAGTGTAGTCAGTATCTGAGTGCCTACTATGTGCCAAGAACCACGCTGGGCTCTGTGCTCTGGGCTCCTGGTTTGGGAGAATCAGGACAGGCACAGAGAATAAACACTCCAAGGCCCTTGGGGTTTCAGGTTCATCCCCAAATGTCAATAGGACAACAAGCATATGCTTATTAAGCACCTGGATGGCAATGGAGTTGGGTCCAAACAGAAGCCAGGGAAGAGTTAACATAGCCAGACTTCTGTGACCTTGTGCAGAAGCCCGGTGCTGAGTCCACAGCCGGCCTCCCAGCCGGAGGCTCCGGCCTGCCCAGCCTGGGTGCTCCAGCCTCATCACGACAGATGGGTTGCGCAGGACGAAGGGTGTGCCCAGTAAGGGCCCAAATGAACAGCAGGGCCAGGAGGCAGTTCCCATTCCTGGAATGGGGTTTTTTTAAACCCATTTTTATTAATTAATTGTAAGTAATACAAATATTCCAAAAATATAACAGACACTTAATGGCGTCCTACATTTCAAGTTTTTGAATACAACAAATTTATCAAACCATGAATCTGTGAGCAAGGTAGTCAGAACCCCACAGCCCAGTCACAGTGGGAAGCAGATCCCGCCCTCCAAATGGCATCATGAAGGGAAAGTGGCACGACTTGAACTGTCCCCCTGGGGTAACTACCAGCAAAGCAGCTCTTGGCCCAGAGGGGCAGGCCTGCGGGCCAGGCCTCTGCAGTCCCTTCTCTGCTTAACGCAAAGATTTACCGGTGTTTAAAAAAAGAAAAAGACAACAAAACGAAACCCCCATGTTACAAAAAGCCACTGAGGGAAGTGGTAAGTAAGCCCCTGAAGACCTGAAGGGGACAGGCCTTCCACAGACACGTGGCCTGGCTGGGACGTGGGAGGGGGACAGCCTTGCAGGGGGCGGCCCTACCGAGAGGCCTCAGGACAAGGTGGGGCAGCAGAATAAAATGGGATTCATTTCCCAGGGAATGACTGCTTTTGGACTTCCCATGCTTTTAGCACAAAGAAGCTTCTGGGCCACTGCTAACAGAGGTGAGTTTCTACACTCACAAAATGGTCAAAATCTTTGGGAGGCAGGAGGGAACTCAACAGAAGGTCCCAGGTTAACTGAAGGCAAATTGACTCAACTTCTCTACAGTAAGGGACCCGTGGGCCTAGCGAGCGTCCCCTCTACAATGTGCAGAGTGGAAACTCTTACCCGACCCTCTCCAAACTGGTCCTGTGTCCAAAGCTCCCCCTATGAGAGGGACACGAACATCAGGCTTTTGATTTAGAAGCCCAATCAGAGAGACACACTGTGTCTCTGAAGAGGCACCTTAAAGAACTGAACCTGGCAGGCGGGCAGATTCCTGGCATGGCTTGAACTGGGGCTGAGCAGGCCCGGGGGTCTACTGCCTCTGGAAGACCAGCCTCAACCGGGAAGGGCTGGTGGGACGCCCTAGGGCAGATCCTGGGATGAACTGGCTCCCACCCCACCCTGCCTCCCTCCACAAGAGTGTGGCTGATCCCTCCAGAGAGCAAGTTTCGCAATCATCCCTTGCTCCTAACACACTGAAACTGGAAACCACCAGCAAACCATGACTTCAGCTGGCTCTGGTCCACATGGACGGACTCTGTGTTTAGATTTATTTGGCTGACTGGCTTCTCCGGGGAAAGGAGGAGAGGGGAAGTGGGAATATGGCATTTGTGTTGAGGAACGGCAGGTGGGCAGGGCAGGCTTCATGCAGACACAGCAGGGCCACTCGCACCCGAGCTATCCTGGGCTCTGGTCCCAAGTGGCTTGGAGCATTTGGACAAGCCTAACAGGAAAGGGGGTGGCACAGGCTCCTCCTTCACCTGGAAAAACATGACCCAAAGGAGCACAGGAAGGGTCCTGGGCCTGGATCACCTGTGAGCCTTATTGCTTATTTAGTCAGAAAAGCTTGGCCGGGCCTAGACGGCAGATTTGGCACAGGGGCTAACCCTCAGAGCCGGGCTTAGGGAGAGGCCCCTCCCGCAGTATCAGGATGGAAGCCTAGGCCAGCTCCCATTTTCCTTCAGGAGATGTTGTTCCTGGCAGGCACTGAGCCCTCTTCCCCCACCTGCAGCAGGACCCTGCGGGCACCAGGAAATGATGCTGTGGGAAAAGACGACGTGGGCCCTGGGGAATCTGTTCCACTTCTGTGACACCAAAGGGAAAGACCAGGCCTTACAACCTTGGGACAAGGAGTGGAGGCGGCATCACAACGCCAGAGAAAGGTGCTCGTCAGCCAGCTACCACTCAGAACACCAAGCTGCTGCTCCACCCCCTGGTTTTCTCAAAACTGTGGAAACGGGAAAGGATAATATGGACGAGTCCTGAGTGGGAGGTGTCCTCACACCTGAAGCAATTTCCAAATGCTTTGTGACACCTGCCTCTAGAGAAAACGGAGACAGGCATTGGGAAGTCCCTCCCAGCCCAGAGGAAGGAGGCCAGAGAAGAGAGAACCCCAGCCAGCCCCGGGGAGGCCATGGTTAAGGCAGTGATGCTGAGGTGGGGCTCCCTTTTGGGGGGCCCTTGTGCTCCCAATGACAGCAGCACTTCCTCTTTTGTTTTCCATCCTGGGGAAACTTCGTTTTGTGACTATTTTTTAAAGTATTACTACTGAGAAACTTCGAAAGAGCCGCGCAAAGCACAGGTGGGGGGAGGTCCACCTGCGACCCGAGCCAGGAGGCTGGCCAACTAATGGTGAGAACACCCCTCCCCTCAGCCCAGGAAAAGCAGGGGTGCCTCTGAGGCCCTGGAGAGAAAAAGCGACAGGCAGGAAGGACGGGGACTGGAGCAGATACTGCTCGGCACAGGCCAGGCCCTGGGGGAGGACACAAAGGAGAGAGCCCTGCCCAAGAACACCAGGGCAGGCCCCAGTGCCCCTCCCAGACTCTGGAACAGAAGTCCTTGCACCAGCACCAGCACCAGCAGAGAATCCCTGAAGAGCAGACTTACGGACACAGTCCGAGCGCAGCTCATCTGCAAGCCAAGGCGACACACGCATTTGGGGTTTTCCTCTTCCCTGTACCCCGAGAACCTCCCACATTCACCTCAGGCCCAGGACTGCAGCTTTGTCAGAAACAAAACAGGCCCAACACTCCACGTTTAGAAAGAGAATTTTAAAACAGTCAAAAGAACGGAAATCAGTTATCTGTCCTCTCCCAGGCCAGGGAGAAGACGTCCTTCCCCGCAGGCTCGACTACGACTGGTGCTGAGGAGGCAGGCCCAGCGCCCAGGCCTCAGGGAGACCCGGAGAGGGCTCAGCCAGGCACGCTGCTGGAGGCAAGCGCAGCCCTTGGGCCACAGGACTTAATGGCCTCTGGGGCTACTGGTTCTGGCAACAAGCTTTCATCTTCCAGAAATGTCGTCTGTCTGCAGCAGGTGGCTGGAGAAAGGTTTCAGAAAAGTGTGTGCCTGGGGCACCCGAAGGCAGCCTCTGACCCTGCCTCTCCCCCTGGTATAGGCCGGACAACACTGAAGGAAGGCCGTGGGTTTGACAATGGAGCCTTCAATGGTCTTCATTCCACAGAGCTCGGGTGCTCTCAGGATGACTGGACAGGAGATGAACCAACTCGGGGAGAGTCTCGATCTTTCGGGTTCTCCCTTATCCTGAAACACTTACATCCCGGGGCCCCAGTTCAAGGCAAGACAAACACACAAACACACAAACACACACACACACACACACACAATCTTGGGAACCCAACTCAGGGCTGCTCTGGGTACGGCTGGCCTGGTGTTTGCCCACTCGGCATCTAACCTGTCCTAAGGCTCTCTCCAATCACTTCTATTTCCAGGCCCCACTGGGTGAGATGCTCCAGCTTCCGCTCTGTCTGTCAGGCTGATCATAAAGGCACGGTGTAGGAAAGTCCCCTACTGGGATGGCCGTGGCTTGGAAGCAGGGGAGGCTAAGGGGCCCGCAGCTGCCCGAGGCTGGTGTAGACATCCTCTGCTCCGCTCAACTCCTCAAAGATTGGGATCAGGTTTAGCAGCTCAGTGTCTGCCATGTCATCAAACCAAGACTGCACGGGCACCTGGGGCAGAGAGAAGGTGGCATCAATCTCCCGACCATCAATTCTTCCCTCCCTTGCCCCAGAGCCCCTGGAAGCTGGCTGGGTCCACCTGGGGGGTGTGCTCCTCTGGTAAAGCCCTCGGTTCCACCACCCACTCCCTCTCCCACGCGGGGCAGGGACTCCCCAGCCCTGCAGCGCGGGCGTGTCTGGACCACTCACTGCATTCTCTGGGTGGAAGATGTACGAAGCTGGCGAGTTGTCCAGAATGAGGGTTTTCCTCAGGTCCCTTCCCAGGCGGCTGAGGTCCTTGACGTAGCAGCCCTGGTGGAACACACAGGACTCACGGAACAGGCGGGCCCGGAACACCCCACACCTGTCCAGCAGATCGGTCACAGGGTCGGCATACTGGGAGAAGAGAAGGGGTTTTTGTTTGGAGGCAGTGCTGGTTCCCCGTGGCATCCTGCGGACCAGCAAGGAGTCGCTGGACCACCCCTGTGGCTGCCAAACCTGCTCCCAGTTCTTTGCTCCCCTTCCCGCCAGGTACCTTGGCCAGGCTGGCAGTGAAGAGAACACATTCAAAGAGTTCCCCCATTCGTCTCAGGAACTCATCCACGTAAGGCCTCTTGAGCACGTACACCTGAGGGAAAGCAGAGGCTGGTTGGAGGCATCCCTGGGCGGGGGAGTGTGGCGGCGCTGGTCACGGTCACCACACACACAAAGGGCAGCAAGTATGTTCAGACCTCACTCTGTCCAGATGCCCGCACCCCAGCCTCTGGGACCATCTGGCTGGAGGCCTCCCCACAGACCAGGGCACTAGCATCACCTCCTCACTAGGCTTCTGTGGGCTTAGTGATCCCAACGTTGACCCAGCTCAGGAAGAAACGTATACACCCATGTCTCAGGAGCCATCTGCTTCCGGCGGCGAACCATCAGCTGCCTCCAGAAACAAGTAATCAAGAATAGGCCTCACAGATGGAAACAGCCTATCCTGGATTACTTGAATCCAGCCACAGCCTCTACGGGGGCTTCCTGTCCTTGGCTCTGGCAGGACAGTCTGTCCAGGTCACCAGCAGGCAAGGTTGCCGACACTTCCTAAAACCTCATGCCCTCACACAGCTTCTGAAATGCACCAGGAGGAGCAACTTTTCCCTCAATGACTGAGCTCAGACACCCTGCAGTGTCTTGCTCTAGTGCCCCCCACCCATTCTGTGCTTGTTCCTGCCAGCCGGCCCTAACACTCCTGTCCACCTTTCACAGTCTCGCACATTTGGGCCTAAGAGGTTTGTCGGCTGCATGTCCCTCACGGGTCTGCAGCCTGTCACTCCCCTGCCTCCAGGCCCTCCCGCTCATCCAGCCCACACAGGTGCTAACAGAACCACTCCTTCAGGGCTCTTTTTACCACGTCACTCCCTGCTCAGCGAGCCTGTGCCTGCTTGACTCTCCCTCTAGGGAGTGGCCTGAACTGGCCACCAGTCACCAGACCCCCTGGCTCTGCAGCAGGGACCCTCTGCCCTAGGCAGCCACAACTTGGCTCCCTTTGAATTTGCCAGTTCTTCAACCAGCTCCTCCCTCTTGCTGGCTATTCACCAAGCTTGGCATCTCCTCGCTACTGTGCTGAACACTCGCCTTCCACAGGCAGCCCCCACCTGAGTCTCATCCCTTTTTCATCATTCACGCCTCTTCTCATTAACCAGGAGTTCACACCTCCTATTTGTCTGTTTGGAAGTATGCCTTCGTCTTTTCCCTGTGGGTTTTGCAGATCCCTATACCTCAGCCAGACGGGAGAGGGCTGCTGGGCAGAGGCCGGGCAGTCCGAGGGCCAAGCCTGGCTCTGAGCGGGGCTGGCGCTGGGCCTGGTGGGGCCCTCAGTTGGGGGTGGTGCTGGTAAGAAAGCTTCTACGGACACGGGAGAGTGAGAACACTGGTGGAAGCCTCGAAGCTCTTCCCTGCAGGGAGCTCCTGTCTGACCAGGCCATGCAGTCAAGCATCAGGGCCACCAGGGCACTGCTCCCGATGGTCCTAGACTCTCGGGCCCGCTGGCAGCCTTCTGGGCAAGTGTTCTGAGTAAAGGGAGTTTCATGAGCCACACCACGTGACCCTGAACCCTGGACGGAGCAGGCTATGCAGGGCCAGAGCCTGACCCTACTGAGATTCAAGTGCCCTTTGACAGGTACGGACCGAGCATTTCCCGGGGCAGAATCCAGTGGAGGGGCCCAAGCGGAAGAGAGTCGGGAAAGCTTCCCAAAGGAGATGCCTGGGCTGAAGAGGAAGAATTTCACCAGCTAGACAGAGTAGGGGCACAGGGAGGAGAAAAAACAGCTAGTACCGGCTTCCTTGCCTACAACAGGGAGAGACACCAACTATTCAGGATTAGAGAAAGTGTAATAAACCACGTAACAGTGCATGCCACACGGCGGGGTGATCAGTCAGTGATGGCTGTTATCATTATTAAATAACACTATTTAATTTAAATAGCTTGGCTGCAGAGAGAAAAAAGGTGACAGCTAAAGGGAGATAAGGGCCAATTTTTTTTTAAGATGAGAAAGCCTTGAGTGTGAAAGGTCACAATAAAAAAGGAGAGACTGGGGGCCGGCCCAGTGGTGTAGTGATTAAGTTTGTGCACTCGGCTTTGGTCGCCTGGGGTTCGAGGAGGCACGGACCTACACACCGCTCATCAAGCCACGCTCTGGCGGCCTCCCAAATACAAAATAGAGGAAGACTGCGCAGATGTTAGCTCAGCGACAATCTTCCTCACCAAAAAAACCCTGAAGGTACAGGAAAGGGATCACTGGTGGAACACCAGCCCTGAGGAGGGCGCAGGAGCTGGGGCGGCCAGGCAGGTAGCTCACCTGGTGGGTGGTCCCCTCAATCTCGACAGGCACTATGAAGTCTGCATTGTTGATTGGCTGGAAGGCAGGAAAGTTAATGAGGTTAGCACAGCTGGAAGGAGACAAGCACCCTGCCTGCCTGCCGCACCCCAGTCCCTGCCACAGCCACTGCAAAGGCCCCTGGGAGGCAAGGCGGGAACAGGTCTGAGTGACTCCAGGAAGCTCCTCCTACCATCCACCCTGCAAAGCGATTCTGGTTGCACTACAGAGAGTGATGCCCCTCCTGGCTTTCCCTACTTACCACCAACCCCAAATTCTACCTGAGCTGAGAGTTTCAGGGCCTTCAGAGTTAACAAACATCCTGACACAGTGGAGAGGCACAGAGTCCAAGGCTCAACCCCGTGAGGTGTGCCCAGTACACAGCCCTGGTGGCTCCCCGTGCTGTATGCCTGGGGCGGCTGATGCAGCCTGTGGGCAGTGACTGGGGGGAGTGGGGGGTTCCTACTCAACATTCTTCAGTGTGGCCTCCGGATATGTGGTGCCAGCATGGCCCAAATGCCAGAAGCCCAGCCCTCCTCCTTCTGATCGCTTTTCTATCGTCAACTTTAGGTCACCTCACAGCACCTGTCACCAGGCTCACAAGACAGCCCACGACAGGTGTGGGAAGGGCTCCAGACGTCCAGTTACCTTAAAGGAGCTATGCACAAGGGTCTCATCCAGGTCAATGACCACGCAGATCCTTCCTTGATCTTCCTCTGTCACCTCTGGGAGCAGGCAGGTCCCCGGGATCTAAAACCAGAGGCAGGCTGCTGAGATCTGCCACCAAGAAAGCCCCAACAATCCCCCAGCGGAACTCTGGGAAGACCTGGGCTTGTCGAGGAGACGAGAGCTCAGGCTGCAACCCAGAGAGGCTCCGCTTGAAGGCCAAGAGGTCGAGAAAGAAGAGACTGTGCTGGCTCCTCGGCCTCGCCTCCCTTGGGGCCTATGAAGTGCTCTGGACATGGAGATGGAAGCCAGTGCTGCTGTGGGATGGACACGGGCTGTCCCCCAAAATCTGATGCCCTGCACAGAATGGGCCCTTGCAAATATCTGGAACAAATGGCTTCTGAGGGCAGGGAGGTGGCCAGCCAGGCCCCGAGAAGGGTGGGCATCACCCCACAGGGTTAGCAGGGATCACAGGGTATAGGCCTCTGAGCACGCACTCCATCAGTCACATACCTGATAAAACTGGTATTGGAGACACTGGAGCAGATCCGACTGTGGGAGAGAAGGAGGCGGTGAGCGCCACGTGGCCAGCACCTTCCCTGACCTGTCTAAAGCCCACTGCTTCTGCCTCAGGCCTGGAGGGTAATTTTCTCCCTAAGACCCCCGCCCCCTGGAAGGTCCTGACATGACAAAAGTGGCTTAAGGGCCAGGTAGGAAAGGGGAAAGGCCAAAGCTTCCTGTCCACATTAGGCCTGAGGAAGGATGGAGAAGACAGGGTCCCCATTCTTGCTGCCACCACCTCTCAGCTGGACGAGATGCAGAGCCGCAGAGGCAGAACCAAAATCTACTCCTCCCTGCGGTGGCTGAACCTCTCAGTCCTGGACCTCGGGCTGCTCCTTGAGAATGGGTGCTCTCTTTGCCCTCTTTAGGGGGAGAGATGCGGGCCCTGAGCCCGTACCAAACATCAGGTAAGCCAGTATGAACCCACTTTCGGGTCCCGAAATGTGAGGCCAGGTGGAGTGCAGAGATCGGAAAGGCTTCCCCCGCCTTTTGCTAATAATAAAAACGTTGTTATGGTTGTAAAAAGCAGTAAGCGTTCTTATGGAAGCCCTGAAGAAAAATTAATATCCTAGCACTTACAAAAAAAAAAAAATGTTTTTGGGGCTGGCCCTGTGGTATAGTGGTTAAGTTTGCGCACTCTGCTTCGGTGACCTGGGCTTCACAGGTTCGATGCCTGGAGTGGACCTAGCACCACGGTCAAGCCATGCTGTGTCGGCTCCCACATAACCTAGAGGAAGACTGGCAACAGATGTTAGCTCAGCAACAAT